CATCGGCCTGCTCGGCACAGGCGAAAATGACCTACGAAGTAGGAGAAAGGGCAGAGAGAGCACCGCGCATGTACGTGGCATGGGTAAATTCTCCTCGGCTTCGATTCCAGCAAGGAGGGAGGCACCAAGGAGAGAGCTGCAGCCCTTGGCATTGGAGGAACTCTTCTTGACTTGATGTGGGAGGATAGCGGATGGAACCCCGCCAGAAGGATGCTGTCCGAGGCTGGCGCCGAGGCGGGCAAGGCGCCGGAGGTGTTGGGGTATCATTGATGGGACCGTCATGATCTCACTTGCACGTACGTACATCCAGTATGCATATGCATAGAGTACTCGTTTCCGTATGCCTCTGGCCGAAAACCCGGGCTTCAACAGAAAAGTACGTGGGTGGGAACAAAGGTAGGTTTCTCTTCTTGGCTCAATTTGAGCATGCGGATTGTTGCCTTCTCTGGCCGATTACGAGGCCTGAGATTGGGAGACATGCACCCTGCAATGAGACACTCACGATGGTGGAAAAGAAACTTGAGGGCCTGAACCGTATAATGCAATGGTTGATCCATCCATTCCATTGGTGTGCGGTGGCTACATGGCTGTGGCGGGTGCCGCTCCGGGACTTCTTCGAACGACCATCGATGCCAAGGCAACCTTGGGAAGCAAGAAAAAAAAGGAATAAAATTTCATCATCCCTTCTCAAAAAATTGGGGCCAAAGAAAGAAAATAGTAGTTGGGTTGCATCAATCTAGTACAATGGCAACTTTGCGGTCCACGGAAAGGGAAATGCTGGTGGTGCTTGATGCAGAGCTAATGCAATGTCGTCTCCGCCGTCGAAAGGAGCATTTCCCGAACAGCACGACCCTTGAAAGCTTCGACTGCTTGCACATTGCGAGGCGAGCAAAAATTGGGCGGAATAGTTGAATGATTGGAAAACCTACCCGCTGAAAATGCGACCTTGATGCGGCGCACGGCAAGACTGGCGCAGGAGAAAGCAGTGGTCCTGGTCCTCGCGCGAAGTACGGACTATCACGGACTATCACGGACTCTGCCAATCTGCCTGCCTTATTAATTCCCGGAAATCCACTCTGCGCGGTCGTGTCCCGGTTGAGGCAGGAAGGGTTCTCAGACAATGGTCCCTACATCTCGATGTACGAAGTACTACATATCCATTTCATGCCGATTCTGCTTGCCTTAGTGTTGAAGATGATGCTATCTTTGGCGAGGGCGTGCATACTGGTACATATTTTACATATTTTCCCGGGTGCTTGTCTACTGCAAGTAAATGGAAATGTAAATGATTTTTGCCTCCCTTATTTTCCTCCGCGCCGCATTGAATGGGCTCTGAGGATATTATTGATGTCTCTCTTGCCGTGCACCCCATTTGCCCATTTGCCCATTTGCCCATTCCCCTCCAGCTCTTCTCAGACATCCAGTTCAGATATTGGAGGTAGCCATGTGGATCCGCCCTGGCCTGCTTGCCTGCTTGCCTGGGCAGTACTGGCGGATGGTGTTCAACAAGTACTTCGTACCTTCGTACATACCGCCGGACAGGTCTTGCATTCGTTGTTGGTCGCTCATGCACGAGTATTACCCTGTGGAGTCTTGGGAGTCTACATTGATGGTGGGTGTACCAATTTGGGTGTACCTCGGAAGCAGAGAGGGTCGCTTTTTGATGCTTTTTGATGGCCTGGTGGGCTGGGAGGCCCACCACCTGCAGAACCCCATTGCAGTCGAATAATTTCCATATATTGAATTTCAGGAGAAATTCATCGGCCTCATTTATGCTCTCGATGTTTCCTCGTGCAGTGTTAATTATCAGTGACGAGGTGCGTTCAACTAGTCAGGGGTTCAATCTGCATGCCGGCTCGGCTGTGAAGCCCCATATATTATCGTTGGGTAACTGCATGTGCTCCATCTATCAATTGATCATTGATCTCTTCGCCCTCCCTTCCCTTTCTGTGCCGCCTCAAGCGGAGCGTAAATCCCATGACCTGGTAATGCTGGGCCTTTGCGGGCAAAATAGAGAAGGGACATTGAAGGGAATTTGGGGGCCAAGGCTTTCCCTCTTTTCGCTCTTTTCGCTCTTTGCGCATCTCTTTTGACCTTCTTTCTCCTCTCGATGCTAGCCCATATTCTATCTGGATCTCTCTGGGAGCAGCGGGAGAAGAAGAATCTGTCCCTCCTTCACATTCAAGCACGGGCACTTTCACCCTACACTGAGCTTTCTTCAGCACATTGCTCTACTAGTAGTACATTGGATGTACGCTTGGCAAAAGCCCGTGTCTGGTCAGATTTAGACTTTTCAGCACCCGTCACCCAGTTGCCCGTCGAGGTTCGTTTCTCGCGGGCGTTAAGCCGTAGCCGTTCGCGGCGCTTTCACGGGTTTGCGACGGCTTCCTTGCCTTCTTCGAGTAAGGCCCCTTACTCTTAGGCGATGCCTGGGGTCGTAGTGGCGGACGTGCGGGCTTCGCCTCAACTCATCCACGTCTCCGGCCTCGTCATCTAGGCCCTCCCTCCTCCACTTCTTGGCTGGGGGTTTTTTCGTGGTGGCTCTCTGCTTCTAGTGTCTAATCCTAGTGGAGCTTTATTCGATCTCGCCAGCGCGGGACCCAGTGGAAAAGTTGGCGACGCCAGACGGCGACTGCCGGGAAGAATCATAGATCCGTTCAAATTCACGCGACTCACACCCAGACAGGCTCCTCTTCATGTTGCTTTTCTTCTCCTGTCCACAGTGGATAATGTTAATCTTGGAGTATGTGAATCGTTGAATTCCCAGGGTTCCACTTGGACTTGGGGGTCTTGTATACCGCGAACCCTTTTCACGCTTGTTCTTAGGAAGGAAGGAAAAAAAAAACTGAGAAATCTTTGCTGAGAAATCTGCACCTCAATTTTCGGTGTCAAGTCATCAATCAAGGGCTGCGAGGGTGATCCTATCTGCATTCGATCAGTTATCCTTCAGTGCACCCTGGTTCTCAGCTACAGCATAGTGACGGCGAAAGGAGAGGAAAAAAAGAAAAAGAAAAAAAAAACCAGGCAGTCATCTATTCTTGTGCCTGCGCAAGTGGGGTGAGTGGGCGGCTGCGGCACGAAGCAATTTCGTAGACGCAGCATGAGATTTGAGATTCGACCTTGCCGGCTCCGAACCGCTTTCATTACTACCCTTTTCCTTTTTTCCTCTCATCTTTGGCGGTATCCGAAGAGCCTCGAAAGCAAATGATAGAAGAAGGACCGAGGGAATATTAGAGAGTGGCAATGTTATTCCCCTTCCTCTGGTCAAGTCTCCCACAGTCGCCATCTGCTTCTCTCACATCACAACTCGGATCCGTCGCAAGATGCCAGTGATCTCCGCCAAGGGGGAACGAGCAAGGTCGCTCACGAAGAATGACGGCATCATTGATGTCAATCCAGCAATGGCCCAGTCCCTGTCCTTGTTCTCCCCGACGATTTCCAAGTAATAATAGGATTTTTCTTTGCATTGCCACAACCTGGTAACCACAAGAAATATCACCCGTGCTCCCCTTTGCAAAAAAGAAAGAAAGAAAAATTACCATTTCTGGCCCATCCATACCCATGCCTGGACATTGATCGCATCATTCTCCTGCACTCCTGCACCCTGCACCACTGATCAATGACACTTCGAACAAGCTGAAGACCGGGGTACTCGTTCGGCTCCCTGATCACGATGCCTTTTGATATTAGGATTTCTCCAGAGAAAAAGAAAAGAACAAAATTAACTGTAATGAAAATAATTTCTAAAAGAAAAGAATATGGAAAAAAAGGGGGGTTTGATCCAATATGCACCATGCTCTGAATTCTCGTCGAGTTTCCATCCGCTGTCCCATCGCAGTAACCCGTCTCCTGTAATAACTCTCCCTGGCTCCATCAAACAAGGCTTCTGTGGAGCAGCAAACGCTCGGGACGCTCAAGAGGGTGCGAACAAAAAAGGAAACCCGACAGGTCCTTCCTTTCCTGGTTTTCCCTCCAAGCAAGTCGATCAGGTTGGCTGCGCATCGCTAAGTCCGGGGTACTCTGATCCTCGCAATTCTTCGGAGTGGGACCATGTACAAGTTACTCTCTACGCACTCCACCGGTGCGACTGAGCACTTGCACAGTTCCTTTCTGGCGAGGAAAGATCAATCATTGATGCAAGATGAGAACTTGAAAAGACTGGAAAAGGGATGACAACTGCTCCTGGCTCGACTGCCTTCTTCAAATCCGCCTTAATATGCTACCTGAACATTTGGAACATTTGGACAGGCTACACATTATTTTTCACATACCGGCAGCGATGTCTCTTTGGCTGATACTCGCCAGTTATCGGTGCTGCCATGGACTCTTCTGAGTTCAATGTTCTGCAGCACGACTCTGAACCTCAAAAACCACCTTGCTCTGCTCGTACGTCTACTTGGCGCCGAGTGCAAGTACACTACTTGGAGAGTGGTGTCTCGTCGGGGTCTTTGTTGCTGTTGCTCCAACCACACCCCCTTCCGAGAGCAGAAGCAGAAATCACCAGGCTTGACTTGACCCGCCCCTCCCACTCCACGCTCTCGCACCAGCACCCCCCCGCACACCCTCCAGTCCAAACAAATCCAGCGACCAGAGCTGGACGGTCCTTGTCTGCAACCACTTCTAGGCATTGGTACGACCCGCGCTGACCCCTTGTCTTTGCTTTTCCTCTCGTTCGCCCGAGCGACACCCCCGGAGCCCGTTTGCTCATTTTCGCCCTTGCTCTTTTAGCTCTTTCCTGACCCATCCAAATCAAGTCGGGCCCAAGTCAAACCTCTTTTCTTTCTCGCCAGCCCAACTATTGGAGACTCTCCTCTTTCTCCCCTCCCCCAACATCCACCTGCTTCCACAGACGTCTCTCTCCTCGAGCCTCACCCCCGACGGACGGCACTTCAGACTTCCCGCATAGAAGGTTACGACTTCACCAACAACGCCCTGGAGGGCCTCGATTTTTCCTAATGAACCCCACCATCTAGACTCTTTCCCCTTCGACGCTCTTCGCCATGCATCGAGTCTCGGCCCTCCTCTCGTGGGACAAGCGGAAATCCGCCCCAAAACTTCCCAACCCGCTCAACCGCCTCTCCACCTCTTCTATAACGACGACAAAGGTCAACAAGGAAGTCTTTTGGCCCGGTGCCCTCGACCAGGAGTGCGAAAAGGCCGCCCGCATATTAAAGTCGTTCTGCGGTATGCTCTTCTCCTTCTAGCTCTTCCCGGACGCTCCCAGCCCCGCGGGAGGGGGCCAGACATGAACCCGCGCCGCTCCCTAGACTTGCCCTTTTGCTAACAGACCCTCGATTTGCAGCCGACGGGTGCCTTGCCCCGCTCCACCAGGATGATCCGACGTCTTCTGAGCCGAAATCGCCTCTGAAAATTACGAAACGGATACCAAAGCGCATTATTCAAAATGCCGCCGGTATCGCTGTCTTTACTTGTATGCGCTCAGGTTTGTGGATGACGGGCTCCGGCGGCTCCGGTATCCTGATTGCACGAAAGGCGGACGGGACGTGGTCGCCGCCCTCGGCTCTCTTATTGCACACTCCAAGCCTAAGCTTTATGGGGGTCGACATCTATGACTGTGTCCTCATTGTCAACAACCTATCCGCTCTTGAGTCCCTAGTACAGCCCCAGGTAACCTTGGGTGACGATGTTGGCCTTACCTGCGGGCCCATGGTCCCTCACGGATCCCTCGAGGAAGAGATCAAGTGGAAGGACCTTGGAAATACCGTCTTTACTTACATGAAAGCGAGGGGTCAAGCTCAGGTCGTGAACCTGAGTGGTTGCCTATTGGCAGAACGCGGAAACGAAAATGAGCGGTTCTACGGCGCCAACGTTACCATGATGGACATCCTAGCTGGCAACGTCGCAAAGAATGTGGACGAAACCCGACCGTTGTTTGAGGTCATCAAGCAGGCCGAAGGCCGGTCCGACTATGACACGGTCATTGTGGACCAGATCTCCCTCCATTGCGCGCCGGGTGATGCGGTGATTGAATCCCCAAAAGCGACGCCGCCCGTATCGCCGCGAACCCCATTTGGTGTTCCGTCTCCGGATGACCCCGACCCGTTTGGTTTCCTGGCATTAGAGATGGCTGGGCTCGAGATCCGCGAGGCCGGAACCCGCCTCCGGCCCACGAGCAACCAGTTCGAGTTTGCGCCTAGCCCCACGAGCCCCTCTTCCCCGATTCAAGCGCCAAAGCGTCGACACGATGGCGACGCGCAGCAACAGAGGCAGCTGCCTGTCGGTTCGCACCGAAAACACACACACGACGGATGCCTGCACGCAGACGGAAACCTCAACCACACCCCACACAACCCCAAGTCTCACCCACAGCGACGACGGACGCGACCGAGCCTCCATGGAGAAGATGCGGGGTCTCGAAGATGTAATCGAAGAAGAAGTCGACTATACAAAGATTGACTTCTCTCCGATTCGACAATTTAGCAATCACCACTCTCTCGATGGAATGACCATGATTGAGAGCCCCGCGAGTACCGATGATGACCAGAGGACGGACCGCACCTCTCGCCGCAACTCCCCTCGCAACTCGACCCGTAGCGAGCGCCCAGACGATGCCACGAGGGCCGCCAACGTTCCTCTTCCCATTGAAGCGGAAGAAGATGAGGGCGATTATGCCGATGACGAGGATGACGAGACGGATGACGATGACGATGAAGAGCCCGTCATTTTCGAGGTGGCCTCGGCCGTCCAACCTGTACGTACCGCCGTTGTGGCGGCACAGGTCCAGGCCAAGGGCGCCATCGTCACCATTGCCAAGCGGATCCCCCTCCTCTCCCCTTCGCAACCCGGCCCGCAGCTCGCAGGCGAAGAGCGATTTTGGCGACGTCAGCGGACTCATGAGCCCGGCCAGGAGCTCCTTTGCAAGCGACGAGCGTGTGTCGATTGCATCCGAGCCCATCCTATCGGCAAGAGACCAGCCCTCCATCGAGGTTTCCCAAGCCACCCCAGTCGAGTCTCAAGCTAACCCGGTTCGTGATATTCCCACACCCGTATCGATTGACTCGGACGACAACGCCAGCTTCAAGTCGCTCGCCGACACCCAAACAACGGAGGTGGGCGAGGAAGGCGGAGAGCAGACTACCAAGACTGTCGATGTCGAGGAGATTGCGGAGATGGACCTAGGCACGCAGACGCCTTCCATCGAGATCAAGGCAATCGAGGACTACCAGACGGTCAAGCTCATCAAGGTAGCCGAGGTCGTTAAATTGTCACCGCTTCCCCAGGAGACGGCACCCACAACCGAACCTACCCCTTCTCTCTCTTAAACACACCTAGGGATGCCCCCACCCATCCACCCGGGATGGATTGTCAACAGGCAGGGGCACAAAGCCCAGCCTGTTGGCTCATGTACATTATTCGCTTATAAAAACACGGCGAGACACATCATGCTACAGACCACTATCGGATGGGTCTGTACACACAATTCTGGGTTAACTAGCCCAACTACTAGAGATATCACTTGAGGAGGAGGGGCACCTGGGAGAGAGTCTTCTCGACCCACTCGCTGTCACAACCTCTGCCCTCTTTTTCTGATTTTACGCCTTGTTTGGGGGATTGGTTAGGCTGGTAGCCCTATCCTCCGGGGCTGGCTTTTTCTTTTTGTTTTTCTTTTTTTTTTTCTTCCCTTGCTTACGACTGACAACTTGGAAAGATATGGAACCTGGATTACTCTCACTTAATCTTTATACTTTAGGACTGGGGACTGGGGCGGCAAGAGAGATGACACGAGAGATGCTACGGCCGGGTCAGACACCAGGAGGGGTTTTCTTTAAAGCTTGGCGCATAACGGATAGAGATGATGGTTTTTTAGCATACTTTTCCTGTTTACGACTTCTCAAGGGGCGGCGTATCGCAGGGGCAAGGGATTCGAAGGAGAATGGCGGTTGGTACCGGTGTCTTTCTACAGGGATACCACAACAGAAGCGAGTCAAGGACAAAAAGAGTCCATGTTGGATAGAAACGGGTTGAATGAGTAAAGGTTCGCCGTGGCAAAGTGCGCCCCGAGTTGCCCTCTCACCCTCGTACAAAATAATAGCCACGCTTATTATCCAAATACGTTTTTGTGATGTTGGAAATGGTGCTGATGTTTTGCAAGGCCCGGACGAGGCTCAAGGCATGGTAACGGACCTCTGGTTTCTAGATCCTTGAAAGAGCTTCTAAATCTTACCTCTCAAGTCATTGCAGTACAAGGCATTCCTGTGATATTGGGGATAGAACGGGCAGGTCTGTGTCCAGAACTTGTAAGACGCAGCCATGGATCAATATTGCCGGTTGCCGCCGGCTGATGCTATCATACCATTGGCCAATTACCTCGACTTGTTCAGCCTTTCTCCAGCCACCGACTAAGATGATGAAAGGGAGCTGAGCAGCGAAGAGGAGGCACTGTGCAACAAGGGAACTAGCGAACGAGGCTTGGTTGCCCCCAAAAACCAGCAAAACGTGAAGCTCCAACTTTTCGGGTGCGCATTTCGCGAAACTGGCGACGACAAGGCTCAACCCCTCCAAGACCGCCCGTTCTTGCGCCCACATCCTGCTCGACCTAGTGCCCAATTCCCCACCACGACCATTGTCTCGACCAAACCCTTGTGCGCATTCGTCGTTTTCTTTTTTTCTTTTTTGTTCGTTCTCGTCTTATCTACAAAAAGACGGCGTCTTGTGTCATTTTGGCCGACTTTTCTGTCCCCCAACGCGTCTCGCGCGAAGGAGCAAGATCTCCCCATCAGCCTTACCTACCACCCGTCCATACCCCCAACCCGGCTTAACTCGACGCCTCGCAGAGGACGGAGGAAGTAAAAAGGAAGAGGAACCGAGGGAAAGGAGAAGAAAAAGGGAAACCCACCAAACACAGATAATCGCACCGGCGATTAATTCCAGGAGGCAACCATGTCGGGCAGCGCGGCGAAGTGGAAGGAGGAGCAGATCCTCGTGATCTGCCCCGGAAGCAGGACGACCATGGCGCAGCTGGGATGCAGCGAGCTGACGCCACCCATTCATCGGCTCCCGACGCGCATGTTCAAGGACCCCGAAGACGGCGGCTGGAGACCGTATCACACGTTTAAGAGGAAGAAGTCGGGCGCCGCGACGAAAGCCGCCGAGGCGAACGGCGACGAGGATGATTGGGAGTGGGTCGAGGACCAGGATTCGGACGAGGGAGCGGTGTACCCTATGCAAGGTGAGTCTTGGGAAAAAAAAGCTACCGACGGATGCGTGCGCTCCCCAATGGGCCTTTTGGACTTGGTGATGCGCCGACAACCTCGCAGCGGGCAATTGATGCCCGTCGAGCGAGCGCACGCCCAATAGGACGAGAAAGGGAATGGAGAGGAAGCTTGGGGTAAATCGAGTTTGCGCTGACCAGGGGCCCTTCCCTACAACTAGCCGGTCGCATCGTCAACATGCCTGCCTTCCTTGCCTTTTTAGACCATATTCACAGCATGCTGACGACGACATATCACAACACACCTATTGTGCTAATGGCATCGCCTCAGTGGACGCGAGACTGCGTCGAAGAGGTCACGCGGTACATATTCGAAAAGACCAAGACGCCCGCCCTCTGCCTCATCCACTCGGCCATCGCGACCCAGTACGGCCTGCGCTGGCCCAACATGACGGTCGTGGACATTGGCTTCGAAAAGGTGGACGTGACATGCATCTACGACGGCAGCGTGGTGAACCACATGGACCTCGGCGTGCCCTACGGCAAGGTTGAGGATATCCGGTCCGGCGGTGAGGTGTTTACCCGGAAACTTCTCGGCCTGCTCGGCAACAAGGGCTTCAACTATGACATGGCTGAGCAGCTCAAGAGGAGCGGAATCTGCGAAGTGCTGGCCTATAACCCGGACGTGCCCGGTTACATGGAGTTGCCCAAGGAGAACGCGGATCCCGCGGGGGTGCTGCGCTCGGCGCTGGTAACGATCCTGTCAAGGTTGCGGCCGAGGCGGCGCGGCCGCCCTTGGTGCTTGACGAAGAGGATGCTGTCACGGACAGCAGGGGTCCGGACGAGGATGGCGTGCTCGACGTTGCCACCATCGTCACGACTGGACAGACCAAGGAATTTCTCGCCAAGAAAGAGAAGGAAAAGACCAAGACTGGAAAGAGGGGCAAGGGACAGGACGAGCAGAACGCGAGGCAGCGCTTACCCAACGCCAAGAGAATGCGCAACGTCTTCCACTACGAGGAGGTGGTTCAAGAGGAGGTGCCTAAGCCCAAGCCCGCCCCCGTCGTTGTGCCCGTCGTTGTGGCCCCCGCGGCCCCGCGGCCCCGGCCCCCGTCGAAAACGGCGCGGAGAAGCCCGCCGAGGGCGTAGAGACCCCGCCGAGGGCGCGGAGAAGCCGGATCCGGCGGCGGCTGCTGCACAAGGCGCGCCTCAGCCCGAGGGCGGAGACTCATCGGCCGCCGTGAAGGCCGAGGCGCCGGAAGCGGCGCCTAAGCCCGTCGAGGAGGAGGGCCCCGTGGAGACGGAGCTCCAGGCCAAGCTGGTACGGCGCGACATCGAGGTTGGCCTCGAGCGCTTCACGTTTGCGGACCGCCAGCAGATTGACCGCATCACCACGCTCATCTGGAAGACGATCCAGAGCATCCCCGACATGTTTATGCGGCCCGCATGCTGGGAGCACATCGTCATCGTCGGCAACGGTAGCCGCATCCGGGGCCTACGCGAGAACATTGTGCAGACGCTCATGGCGCGCCACCTCGTCTCCCCTCGTCCGCCACCATCTTCACCTCGGAGCTCCTCCAACATGGCCACCCCGACCGGCACGGGTCGCAGACGCCCACGGGCTCCTTCACGGGCACGCCCCACCAGCTGCCGACCACGGGAGGCGGGGTCAACCCCTGCTCCAAGCCGCCACCACGGCTACCCTCAACGCGGGCCAGGTCACCGCCGCCACCGTGGGCGCCCCCGGCAGCGAGGCCGGCGGCGCGGCGGCCGGCACTTCGCACCGCTTCCACAGCCAGACGCCCACGAGCATCAAGCTCGCCCCGTTGCCGACATATCTGTCCGAGTGGTCCAAGAATGGCTACGAGGAGGCCATGTTCCTCGGTAGTCAGGTGGCTGGAAGGCTGGCGTTTTGCCTGCACAACTTGGACGGCCCCAACTCGGAGGCCCAGAAGAAGATGAGTCTGAGCCGTGTAGAGTACAAGTACGTTCACCCCTTGCGCCCTTTTTCTTTTTTTCTTTTTCTCTACCTTTTTCCCAATTTCACTGGTTCGTTTTTTGTTGCTAATATTCTAATCTCTTGCGCAGCGAGCTTGGCCCGAAGGGTGTCCGCAAGCACTCGATGCTCAGCTAAGTTGAGGCAAACCTCCAAGGTGAGGCATTCACCGATATGCCCCGCGGCGGCGCCAGGGAGTACCATGATCGGTAGGGGTAAAGGGAGTAGGAGTTCAAAAGGGGGACAAAAGAGAGGTGTAGGTCGGCGGTAGGAAAGAAGGGCGAAAACAGCCAAATCCAAAAGAGACCAACTCCCCCACCTGGACGGATAAAAGAGTAGCGGCATTAGCTGGGGCCCGAGAAATGAAAATAGTGTAACGGCGGGTTTGGTTAAGATGAGGATTTGATCACACTCGCGCTACCCTTTTTTATTTCTCTTTGTCCTTTTTGATATTCCACGTTAGAGAGTCTTGTCTATCTATTTACCTCGTCGTATCCTTTTCTTTGGTCCGGCCTAGTCTAGACGGAGCGGCGTGCTCTTTCAGAGAATCTTTCTGTCAGTTGTGTATTTTCCAATTTCAAGCATTTGTTCCTATTGTCACTCTTTCCTTTTCTTGGCCGCAAGGCCATCGTCTTCGTGGCCGGGTCCGTAGTCGTACGGAAGACGGGGACACTGAGGGAATGTTGTATGCTACTATGAGAGGAAGAAACGACGGCGGAAATCCACCAACTTTTGAGCCGACGCATGAGACTTGATGTTTTCAAAGCCTGCTCTCCACGCTCTAAAGGCCTCGTTGCACAACAGCCGGCCACTGTCCAGTCACGTCTCCTTCCGGCGTGTGCACCGAAAGTGGGGGCGTGACAAGGGTCGAGTGACGGACCGACCTCTTTCAATAATCGAGCCGGGTTTTACTTGGTACAAAGGATGTTGCTGGAGGACATTTCATATCACTAATGGCCTTAGATGCAAAGGTGGGTGGAATGGGTCTTCGTCAGAAGAATGATATTCTCTTGCAATTCCTGCCTAACAAAAGATCTGTCTTTTCAAGAACGATACGAAAGCCTCCTTAAAACGCCGGCATGAAAAAAAGATTGGGGTAACTTCGAACAGGGGTCATTCTTATAATAACATGGATAATCGGTCCCTGCCTCCATTCGCTTCATATGCGTCATGCTTCCTTCTGGTTATTCTTCTTCTTCTTCTTCTTCTTCTTCGCATCTCCATCCATTACGGGAAACATGCGGTTCGAGTGATTGTAAGGGTTATGGGCGGCCGTGGTGTCATGAAAGGTAGGGTGTGAAGATGGCTAGTTCCAGCTCGAGCTTAGCGTGTTGTGGAAAAAAGGTTGTGAGATGCGGCTCAATGCCCGATTCTCAAAAGTGGCGTTGTGGCTGTCACGCAACCACTCTTGGCCACCCTTGTTTTTGCTTCGAAGGGATGCGATGGGGCATTTCAAGCTGGTTGCTATTTCAAATGCCCCCAAAAAGGTGTGATAAATAGTGTTTTTTTCGAGATGGGCGGGAGAGAAAGTGAATGGGTGGTTTTTTCCCTGCTTCGCCGTCTCACTTACGCAGCATCGGCGGCAGCAACGGGCTGAGGTACGCGAGTGACCTGGTCGCCAGCTCGGAGGATGCGCTGGCCGGTCGAGTCGCTAATGTACGACATGTCCTTGTTCTCGAACTGAGCGCGCTTCCAAATCTCCACCTCACATCCTCCACGGAGGACACCAACTCGCATGGTGGAAAGAAGGTTATGGGCGGCGTTGGAGTGCAAGTAAACACCGCCGTTGAAGATGGCGGTGGCATCCTTGCCGACGGCGGAGGAGATGAGGGCCTTGCCACCGGGGTGCTCCTTGATGAAGGCACCGATATCGTGAATGACACCGGCGATGGCGGTAAGCTTCTTGCCGTTCTCCTTGCAATCGGTGACGAAATCATCCCAGCTGACGACGGGGAGCTGCTCGAGGGGAACACCCCAGTCGAGGGTAGCACGCTTCTGATCGAGCTTCTTCTGGAGCTGCTGGACGCGGCCCTTTTCGATTTCGTTGGCGCGGAACTCCTTGAGATCGTAGGCAAGGCCGAGCTGCTTCCAGACCCAGATGTGCCACTTGGTGGGGTCGTACTGCCACCACTGGATGGCGTTGCGGTAATCCGAGGGAACTCGTGGTGGAAGTTGTGGTAGCCCTCGCCGAGGGTGACCAGGGCAGTGATGACGTGGTCACGGGGAGAGTTGCGGTCATCAAAGGGCTGGTCGCCGAGCCAGTGGGCCAGAGAGTTGACGCAGAAGGTAGCCTGCTGGACGAAGAAAATCTATTCATGGCGAGGCCTTGTTAGCATACTGTTTTTTTCTTTTCCTTTTCCCATCCTCTGTCCACGCCTGGGGCGCTCTGCAATGGGCGCGGGGTGGGTGGGGTGTGCAACTTACTCGAAGAATACCAGCATAGATGAAGCCGCCTAGCCAGTCATTGAAGAAGAGACCGCACACGGCCATGGGGAAAACGAGGCCCATGGCAATGACGCACTTGAGGAAGTTCCTGTGTTGCCAAACGACAACGGGGCACTCGTTCAAATCGGTGATGTCGGTTCGGCCAATGCGCTTGGGGTCCTGCTTGAAAACCATCCAGCCGATGTGAGAGTAGAGGAGACCCTTGCGGACGGAGTAGGGATCCTTTTCGGTGTCGGTGTATCGGTGGTGAGCACGGTGGTCCCTGGACCACCACCTGATGGAGCCCTCGACAGCGCCGGCGCCGACGGCAGCAAGGTAGATCTTGAGAGGAAGGGTGGCTTGGTAGGACTTGTGAGCCCACAGTCGGTGGTAACCGGCGGTGATGCCAAGACCGGTGTTAAAGTAGTAGATGACGCTGAAGATGGCGGTGTTGAGCTGGAGGGGAACCCAGTAGGAGGAGATGAGACCCATCATGGGGACAATGATGATGAAGGTGGTGTTGAGCCAGTTGACATGCTTGTGCCAGTTGGCCCATGTTATGGGGGTCTCCGAGATGTGAGTGGTGTTGATATCCTTCTTCGCCGCGGCGCCCTCAGGGGACATAGTCGGTGGTGCCATCCGGGAAGGAGCCGGCGACGTTGACACCGGTGGATTTGCCCGACATCTTTGCTTCAGTCGCTCGGTTTGGTCGAACGCACTGGTGGTGAAGCGCAAAGGCGAGGGAGGGTGGGTGAGGAGTGTTTGATCAAGGGAAGAAAGAAGAGAACAAAGTAAGAAAAAGAGACAAGGAGAAACCCGATCACCAAACGATGTGTTGGGTGATTTGATTTGAAGTCCTCAAGTAATGGTAACTTGAAAGAGCTGAGAACACCGCTGGGAACAGGAAGAATTTGAGGAAGGGATATGAGGCCGTTTAAAACGAAAGGCTACTTGTATATGTCGAGGTTTCGGCCTGCAGGGGACCGGGGGTGAAGGGGGTGTGGTGTGCGCGGTGCTTGGTGCTTGGTGGTGCTTGATGCTGGTGCTTGGTGGGGAGGGTGAAAACCGAGCAATGGAAGGTTGGGAAGGAACAAGGCATGTGTGGGTCTACGATTGGGGAAAGGGGAAGAAAAAAAAAAAAGAAAAGAAAAAAAGGGAAGCGGGAAGGGCAAAGGGAAGGGTAGAGAGAGAGAGAGAGAGAGAAAAAAAAAAAAAAAAGTTGTTGAAGACCAGGTTGGGGTTCGCCGGGTCCAAGTCAAGGTACAAGCCGGAGAGGCGGCAACCCGGCGGGAGAAGCAGGTATTATTTTGTGGGTGGATCGGGACTTTGGGCCAGTCGAGACTCTTCAGATGGTTTGTATTCTATGTATTCCACCAATGTATTCTCTTTTTGTCGGGGAATATCGCGTCTTCACAAGCCTGATTCGAGTCTCTCTTCTGATCGAATGATTCTGCCTCGGGATCCCAACTGATTGGAATCACAGGAGGGAGAGGAGAGAGTGGGCAGGGCAGGGTGGTTGCGATATCTGAGAGGCGTTGAGGATCTCGCAGCCATGGCCTTGACAGCTCTCCTTTGGTCCATCATAGGCCCGGCCGTCTCGGGGGCTGACGTTACAAGACTCGAGGTCACTCGCCGCCCTTGGCCCGTTGAACCCTCATGTGAATGAGGAGGAGGGCCCCAAAAAGAGTTGAGGGAACTCGCACGATTTCGCCTCTGATCAACCGATTATGGGTTTATCGCGGCTGGCCGGCCCCCAAAGGCGAACCAACGGTTTATAGTACATTACGGATGCGATGCGTATGAACTGGGTGCTCACGCGTACATCCATCCATAGATCCATTTTGACCCATCTCCGAATGGAGAGGCCAGCTTGTATTATCAGACACGCCCACTTGTACACACACACGTCGAACTGCTAAAGAAGAGAAAATAGATGGAGCAGCTGTCGAAGATGAAAATGAAGAGGGAGAATGACAATTAAGACAAGTAAAAGCCCAGTTCTAGGCCTTGTTGAGCCTGCACGCTTGCTGCACTGGTTCTGGAACTGAGATCAAATTCTCTTGGATAAGGCGCGAGGTGGCGCGTGTAAGTCGTTCAGCCTGTTCCTGTTCCCTCCTTTTTTTTTTTTTCCTTTCTTTTCCTTTGTTCTTTTTCTTCTCCGTCGCTTTTCTCCATTCAGCCTAGCGTTGGCTGGTGTCAGGGTACCTGCCGTTTCCCAATCCTGATCTCGTCGCCCCAACGAAATTGCCAAGCCTCAACACTTCTGCACCCCTGTCACTGCGTGCTTTGGGTGGAGGGGAGGGAGAACCCGTAAATCATAATAGCGCGACCCTCACTTGTTGGGGGTTTTTGGTGGGGTTGGACAGTGCGAAGCAGTGCATGTTTTCTTCATACCGTGTCCTCGAAAGCGGCTTTTGTTTCTTTTTTTTTTTTTTCTCCCCAATAACATAACCGTACCACATTTTATATGGACTGGACAAATACTTCGTAGCTCGAGACAAGACACGATTCGCTCGGGAACACGGAGCAACTTTGTTTGATTGGAGATGGAACACTCCTCTGCGTCAAGGAAAGAGAGGCGGGGTGAAATGATCAATGATTTGAGGTGCGCCAGATGAGGGCGACCTCCTTTCGTCATGCTCCGATTTTTAAGTGTACCGAGGAATAATGGGTGCGTGCTACGCATTGGGGAAGCTTGCTCGCGCATTATTCCGTCGAGCACCAGCTAGATTGATCAACCTGAACTTCCCTTCCGGCCCTTTCGAAAAGGACAGTATCATGAACGGGCTTTCCCGCAGGACCAGTCGATCCCTCAACCTCTCAGAAACTACCCCGTCTCTCCTCTGAGGTAGAGGAAGATGAGAAGCGGAGAGAGCGAATGCGCAATGGCGCGCCAGCCAGAAGTGAACACGAGTAGAGGTGGCTGGCCATAATACTTCCTCCACGCCGGCCCTAGCTCCCAAGCTCCCACGCCCGGAGACGGCCCTCGGCTCAAGTCAAATTTGAATTCGAGTTCGAAGGCCGTCCCCGAGCTCCTGGTGCCAGAAGCTCCCCTCAAAGACACTACACTAGTGGAGAGCGTATGTGCACTATTATCTTGTTGCTCAGACTGCGCGCGCCAGCAGCAAAATCCAGACCACGCCTACAATGGCAATGACCACTTGCGGGCCCCTCTCCGAACGCCCTACGGGTGTACCCCTACCTCGCTCTGCCGGGGCTGGCCCCCACTCGCACCCTTTCACCCACTCAAAGTTGCTCGATTTCCCTCCCAAGTCTGGGGGTTTCAAGAGGTTCCCGGCAGCAGGGTAAGGTGAGAAAGTAGCACTACACCACCAGTGCTCGATCCACATCCTCCACAAGTACCGAGGTACATGATGAGCTCAACCTCTGTAAACGCCCGCCAAAAAAGGAAGAAGAAGAAGAGAAAAAAGAAAAAAAACGCCACTGATGTGCGTAGTTGAGAATTGGGAGCTTGGGCAAAAGCGACGCTGGTGGCTTTAGCTCGGCGAACCACACCCGCCCGTCGCCACCACGTCACGTCTCTCTCAACGAAGCCAAACTAGTCGAAAGTAAAGATTGCTGATCTCGGGAGGACCCTCTCGTTGGATTTCAAAGTTGTGAGTTCAACAGACGAGGGGTAAGAGGCAAAAAGAGAAGAAGAGAAGAGAAAGAAGAAGAAAATGGAACTCTCGGGGCCTCGAGTCTACGCTACGCTATCCGCGCACGACATTCTGACTTCAAGACTTTCAACCCAGCCAGCCCCCTACCATCTCCATATGCTGTACACTACTACATACGCTATGGATCCAAAGCAAGCCACCATCTCACTTACATTGTGGGCTTGCAGCCATCCATGCTTTCATCCCCAACATGAACATGCAGGAGAGGTGAACCATTTGTAGATCGTATGTTTTCTTTTAAACCTGCTCTCCTTGGACAGAGCGAGTGAGTGAAAGGGGAGGGTCCCCGCGGCTGGCTCTCGATCCCCGACTCTCGACCCAGTCAGAATATCCGCATATTCAAGCATTTCGTTTCCCCGCGATTGGTTCTTGGGACAGCAGAGGAGGGGCGAGGTTCTTCGGCGACCGTCGCCTCCAGCTTTGTTGAATGGGCTAAACACTTTGGCTTTTTTCCTTTTGGGAAAGCCACCCTCTTTTTTTCTTTCTTTTTTTTTTTTCTTTTCTCTTTTTCTCAGAGGCCACTCGTCCCATCGCCACCCAAGTGCCGACCGGTGCCATCTCCCCCTGGATTGTGGCTTGCCTTTCCTCGTAGCTCCGAACCCGAGTCTCTCGGTCTTACGGAGCTCTTTTTTCTCTTCCCAACTCAAGGAGTCTCCCAAGCTTCGTTCTTGCCTCCTTCCTTTCTAACGTGACTGATTGTTGGCGGAGAGTGAGAGTACTGTACCTTGGTACTTGGTACCTACTCAGCGCTCTCAGCGGTTCTTGCCTCTTTTGCTCTTCTCCGGCTTCTCTCGTTCCAGAATCCTCAACAATGCTTACGTACGACTTTGCGAATCCTTCAACCACCCAGTCCACTCTTGCCCCCGACAGTGGGTTTCTCGCGACTCTCCTACTGCGTTGGCGTATTATCAGTGTATTCACGAGATCATCTTGAATATTACATACCCAAGTACCGAGGTAGAATCATGAATATCACTATTATCATTCCCTTGCAACCGCACCGCGCGGATAAGTAGCTCATGGGCAATGTTCCCCGACGGAACTCACTGCCTGTATTTCCTCTCCGCCCCAACGCTTTTCTTCGAGGTGGGGGAGGGGTTCAATGTGTGTGTTGATATCAGATATTCCAACGTGACCGTGCCATGACGCATTCAACACTTCAATGCTTCCCTCCCGCTCTCATCGGCAAAAGAAAGAAAAAACAGCTTCTGAACCTGGAGCATGTGAAAGTGAATGGCAGCGGGAAGATGCGAGGAAAACAGGAAGCAGACACACGGATACGAAGTAGATGCCCGAGGATGCGCGTTAGAGGTTCTGTAGAAGTCTGTGCCCATCGGCCAGAGTCACCGTCGGACATGCTCGGTCCATATATGGGGCTAGCAACGTTGTGATGTTGAGCTGGCGCGCAACAATCAAGATTGAGGTAGTAGGCAACATGATGCGATTAGATCAATCGAGACGGTCTCTTCGCTTCAAAACGAGGCACGCCGAATCCCCGCTGCGAACACTCTTTCTCGTCAAGTTGAGGTGACTTGGAATCCCGTGTTCGAATAGGGTTCGGGAGTAGGCTAATAACAGAACCCCCGGTGTCCGCCGCCAATCCCGTCCCTCGATCTTACTCCCACCCCTGCACATACCACCATCCCTCGAGACTCTCCCGCCGTCCAACTCGAGGAGCCGGCGGGAGCCGGCGGGACGCGGGCTGACCGGGTCTTGGCAGAGGCAGAGCACAACTTCAAAAAAAAAAGACGAAGCGTTTTCCAGATATCTGTGTATATTCAACTAGCTCGTCTGTCGTGGTATCTCTACCAGCAAACGAGCTACACTATCTCGAGAAAGCGTGGTGCTTCTCGGACAAGTGGCTATAAGGTACATAAATATCTAGCATAGCTTGTGTAAGGAGGGGGTTTTGCAAGGGAGAGCGTCCCCGAGTATGATTTTGTTGATACGGAAGGCACTACAGCCTCGCATTGTCGTTTTGGTGGGGAGCACCAGAAGCTGTCCCCAATGAAGAAAGGGGAAAGAAAAAGGCAGAAGGGAAAAGGAAAGGCTGTCCCCTCTTGAAATGCTCGGTACGCCCAGTTAGACATCGTGAGAATTGGTCGGAATAAGGTCTCGTAAACATCGTAGTTTTACAAAAGAATGAAAAGAGGTGGAAATGTAAAGACGGACGGGGTCGTGTCAAGAGGAGGGACAAAAAGAAATATTTTTTGGGGGAGGAGGGGAGAAAAAGAAGAAGGTGAAGGGTGATTGAAAAGAGGGTGAGTAAGAGGGTGACAAAAGGGTAAAAGCGTGCGCCAAATCAATCATTTCGTGTTTTCAAGTATGCTCGACTTGATACCGAGGTGGGTTGCATCACTTGTTGGTTCTTAGTATCATGATATTTCGTCAAAGGAAAAAAGGTTCCTTGGCCTGGGCGCCCGCTGCCTAGCCGTCCTTGACTTCAACCACCATTGCAACCGGAATCTCTTCCGGGGATTGCAACGTGGTTGACGCCTTTGGGGGCATCAATGCAAGCTCGAGATCGTCTTCCGCCAGGGCTGTCGGAAACCTAGGTTCGTCACCCTTGACGTCTTCATCTGCGCCGCCCACGCCGGTAAGGACCGAGAATGCTTCCTCCAAACTCGCCATTCGGGGCGTCTGGGCCGGAATATCGCGCGGAGATGCATCTTCATCACAGTCTAGCACCGTCTTCGGGGCTGGCATTGGGGACGCCGCTGTCGCCGTCATCCCCGTTGCCGCCCTCGTCATCATCCACTGAGATGACCACCGGAGCGTCTATGCCGTGATCTTCAGATGTCTCTCCCGGTTCTGTTGGACCCGCTGATTCCGCCCCAGACTCCACCGGTGCCTTGCGCACCGACGTCGTCGTGGCCTCGCTCTCCCTGTCCCAACTGGCTTGGCCTTCGGGTTCTGTAATCCCCGTCGCCTTTGCCCTCTCCACCTCGCCCACGGGAGCAATGGCCTGATCCAGACAGCCAACATTTTCGGTTGGCTCTGCTTCCGTTTCCTGACCCGTCGGCTTGGAAGACTCTACTCTTGCAGATACGCTCCTCTCTCGGGATACCGCCTGGCGTGCCTCGGCTTGAATCGGCGTTGTAAACACAACAGATCCTCGTCCGTCACAAGATTCACCCTCTTCCACTTCGCGCCTACTCGTTTCCGCCACTTCTTGCTCCTCCCCGTCATCAACCTCGTCCCGGGCCCCGGATATCGTCCTGCGTGAGCCAGCCGAAGAGCTCCCTTCTCCTTCCTCCTTTTGCGGCAACTCGCCTTGCTGGTTCTTCTCAGTTCCTGTCGGTAAGACATCGTTGCTGTACGAAGTCCTCTGCGCCGAGAGACTGCGGGAATCATCGCGATAGGCCCTGTGCATGGCGTACTGCCCAAAGTTACTTGGCAAGGGGCTTGGTGGTGACCTGCCGCGAGGTGAGTAGGCGCAGGGCGTCTCGTAGCCCACGTAGCCCACGTCGGCAGGGTTCATAAAGCTAGTATACGTCCACCGGTCCGAGGGAGATACGGCCCGGATCTCGGGCATGCCGCCCACCAACCCTCCCCCAGATGCATAAGCAAACGACTTCTCCGAATAGTCTCCAAACTCAGGGGCGACCGCGCGGCATGCCGCGACATGCCGTCCGATAGGCCCGAGGGGAATAGGCAGAGGAGCGATGTTGCTTGGAGTCTCATACGGGGGTCTTCGCTGAGGCAAATCTCGACGAGCCGTCGGTACCATGGGGGACGTCCGCGTCCGGTCCGAGGACCAGCCTCGGACCGTACTTTTCAGGTTCATCGTCCTCCATGGCAAGGGCCCAGAGCACCATGCCCAGCTGGTACAAATCCGACTTGACTCCAATGTACATCGATATCCCCTGGCTGCTTTTGAGGAGCGGCCGTGCTTCTGGGGGCTCCCATCCGACTGGGCAGCCTCGTCGGTTGATATCAATAATCTTGGCATCGCCCATGCTGTCGACCACAATATTCGACAGTGTGAAGTCACCTTGAACAAACCCGGACTCGTGGACATCGGCTAGCCCCTGCACCACTTGTTTTGCCCAAGTCGCGCGGGTTGCAAAAGGGAGCCTCGCAAGCCCTTGGTCGTTTCCGGGTCGATGGTCATATAGAATATCCATGAGTGGTCCGCGTTCTGCGTAGCTGATGAGCAACCCCTTGACGTGCTCATCCGCATTGTCTACGACAACGCCAAAAAGGTTATGACGCTGCTGGAATATTGGAGGGAATACAGCGCATTGATCTCGTAGATGAACTCGTTGATCGTGTCGGGTCCCGGAATTTCTTTTTATGAGCACTTGTCCGCCGACTTGGACTTTGTAGACAAACCCTGACATGTGCGAGTCGAAAACAATGTCTCGTTCTCGGATCCTGTGGCACCGGAGGTGCTGCACCTCGCGCACGGCAGGATACGTGATAAGCTCCTACAACTTTCGGTCAGCTCTTGCCCAGGCGGGAGGCATATATATATACGCTTGCAGTGGCTACTATCTTAGACGACCCCCGGATCCATCTCCGTCGAGCCCACACGAGAACGGGAGAATGCGGGTTAAGAAAGGAGAGAGACACAAACATTCATATCTTCCGCAACATGCACGTGAAGTCGGCCATCAGTGGTCTGGAGTTTCAAATTCGTCACTGTGTCGTAAAAGCGGATAGCGCTGAGGCTGTCGCGAATGGCCTCGTAGACCCTAGCGCTCTTATCTCGCTGAAACTTGGTCTTCATCAACTCCATCTCGAGGGAGTCCTCGGGCGCCTTTCGGTAATCTAAAGACACGGTTACGCGCCGCCAGACATCTTCGGTCTCGTGCTGCTCGCGGTAGGTGACGAAAAACTTTTCTCGATTTGACTTGTCTCGGAAATGCATGCTCAGGTTCAGTATCCAAGTCGTCTCAAGCTCCTCCTGGATATGGGACGTCGTGACAGATATCGCGTCTTCCTGGGGCCAGGGATCCCTAGTTTTCTCGTCATTGTAAGAGGCGTTATCGAGGTCTAGGTTGAAATCATTCTGGCTCTCTACTTCGGCATCCAGACGACAAAAGTCTACGCTGCTCTCGTTCTGCCAGTCAGAGTCGTCAGGGTCGACGGACGGAGCGGCCACGTCTTGCGATGAAAAACACGGCGTCTCTAGAAAGTCCGGCGCGCTCGATCGCGGCAGCGTTTCTGTTGTGGTGAGCCTTGACGTGGTGCGCGTGAGCACGGCGCGCCTATCAACGGAGACGGCCCTTCTCTCCGCGGGAGTGGGTTCTACGGGCGCTAAATTAGTGCGCTTTTCGGATTGTTGCCTTTTAAAGGTTTGCATCCTGGGTAAGCCTGGCACCACTTTCCTCGATACCCGCCGGATGAGGCCGCCTTTCTGGGAGCCTTCTTCGTCGCTGGAGTCCTGGCTTTTGAGAGACTTTTTAGGCCTGACTCATCTGTGGATGTGCTATTACTGGAGCCAAAGAGCAGTCGACGGAAGAAACTAGTAGTCCCCGGCATCGGGACGGGGATCTGGGCGTCGGCTTGGGCCATGTTGACTCTAGGGGTGACGTGATATCAGGGTGCGCGGATCAAAGCTGATCCCACTGATGGGCCGTGGAGTAGAGATGTGGTGGGGGATGTGTAAGAGACGAGGGGTCCTGACGTGTAGGACCTCAAGATAACACCCCAAACCTCACAAAGGTCGGTGGCCAGAGGAGAAGTGTGGTGAAGTGCTTGGAGATGAAGCAAAGAAGCTGGGGAGGTGCGGGCGTCTCCAGTTTTCCGGTTCCACTTTCTTTTGGTACAAGAAGAGCAATCACAATCGCCCGGTTGTGCGAGCGGAACGTGTCGGACAGTTACACAGCGCGTGAAGAGCCTCCAAGGTTGGTCAAATATGTGGGGATTGGCGAACAGAAACGCGTGGGCGTGGCTTTTGGAGCGCCGAAGCTGAGTGTGTTGGAGAGTTTTGGTGGAGGGCAACTTGCATGTTAAGCTGCGCAATGTTGCAGAGGCAAGGGTGGTCTTCGACTGGACACACTGGTAGGTTTTTTTTTTCGTTTTATTGCGAGGGGGCGTGGTGTGGTGACCGTCGCAAGAAAGAAAGCCTCAGGCGTATTATCTTGTTCACGTCAAAGAGGTTCGAGAGTTCTGTGGTCTTGGTGCCGCGAGACGTTGACTGCTTTCGTTCCAGAGAGCAGACAGGTGGGCGGCAGCTTGAAAGATCAACAGAGTACGGGGAGGGAAGAGGAGGGTTTAGAAAAAAAGAATTAACAATAAAAAGGAACAAGAGGGGGAAAAGAAGGCTTCAAAAGCTTGGAAAGGGAGGGGGTGTGAGATGAGATATGCCGGTGTATGGATTGCGGCCTTCCGGCTTGTGCGCGAGTATGACTACTTTATAGATGTGGAAAAGATGCTAAAAGGAAGTAAGAGGGATGAGTCGGCCAATGGAGCACTTCATATCACTCTGAGACTTTGCAACTAGCAAGGCAGCCGGGCAGGTGTGACAGTGTGGAGGAAGGGCTGGAAGGGCTTTGAGTGTTGGGAGCGGAGCGGATGGTTGCGTCTTGTGCGAGGCGCTTCAAGAAAACGGCAGCGTGGGCATGGGCATGAGAAAGAGCATGATAAGGTGAAAAAGGGTTTCGGAATCTTGGAACCACGGGGGCGCAGAAAAGGGCTGGACGAAGAAGGGTTGGCTGGGTTGGCTGCTTTTTGCCGTTTTCTGAGTGGGCGAGGGAGATCAATGGATGAGCGAAAGATGTGCTATTTGCGCCCAATCGCGCGCCTCATCTTGATCAAGAGGGAGGGCTCGGGCTAGTCTTGGCCTAGGTCGGGGGACTATGATGTTACGATGGGCCAAGGTGGGCGATGCGGGCTCTGAATTGAGAAAAATATGGGAAGATGAACAGGCCAGAGGTCTCCTCGAGGGATTAAGGGGAGTGGGAGATGGCGAGATGGCCGGCCGGGTGGTGGTGGAGTGGGTATAAGCTGGACAAAAGATGGGCCCCTCAGCTTGTAGTCGGGTGTAGATTGGGGCGAGGACGAGCAACTTGCACCGCGGTAAACAAAAAGGACACGGCCAATCTCGCCTTGGATTGGGAGATGTCGGAGAAGTTTCTGAGGGAGCCACAGAGATGCAAGTTGTGGGAAGGTACGAAGAGTCTGGGGTCACGAGCAATCGGGGGAGAAGACGACCACTTCGTACTTTCTTTTCGGGGTCCTTTGCTGTGGGCAAAGGGGGCTTTCGTCGTCCCCCGGCCTCGTCGCTTCCTTTTTCGACCCTTTGTTCTCCGCCGCTTTGTGTCCACGGGCGGCGCAAGAGGTGTATGTGGGGGTGAGGTCAATGAAGCCAGGTATCAGGGGTGTGATTTGGCGAGCAGGGAATCGTCACACAGAGTGGCCCAAAAATGGGGAAGGGGTAAAGGATCCTTGAATGGAAAGCGAGGGGGAAGAAGAAAAAAACAAAAGAAAAGAAAAAGGTTGGTTGATGAGTTGTCAAATCCAAGCTTCCTCCCGGTCGAGCTGCAGGCCGCAGGAGTGTGCGTGCTGTGCGTGCGGTGGACTGTACTTGTAGTGTAGTGTAGTGTAGCGTACGATGTACGATGTATGATGGATGTATTAGCAAGGTCTCATGCGCCAGGCAGGAGCAGTGTTGAGAGTCCGAGATACTTCAATTGCACAAATCTCCTAGCGCAACCCACCACCATGTGAGACTCATTGAAAGCCTCAGCCCAACCCACTCACCGTCACCCTGTTCACCCCAAGCTTTATAATAAAGCCATGAGGACACTCTTTCCACACATCGAATCAACAACGAAACTGATGGGGGCAAGGTACTTGATATCCATCGGAGGAGGACCCTCGCCGCCATGTGTTGCCCCTCACTCGTACAGCGTGGGAGCGCCGAAGCATGGGAGGCATTGTCGAGTTCCTGACCAGTCCGAGCATACTCACCTGCAAGCCCATCACAAGGGCAAGTCACCCCACGAGTATATGCCCAACCGGCGGTCCTCCTTGCTCAGCATGGCAAAGGACCTCTCCCCGATGAGGTTAAAAATCTCTCAAAATAGAGGCTGATGGGTGCTGCGGGAGGTCACAACAGTGACGTGAAAGCGTCGGAACTGTGTCTGTCGCTTCTTGCCGCCCGCGCCCGCACCCAGGCCCGCGCCCGCCCACGGGGTCTACTCCATATTGTATTGTCCTGGCCGTCACCAGTCGCGATTCTTCAGGTTTAGCCATGGAGCAAGTTCCGGGAAAGGACGAGTCACAAACATCTTCGACGCAACTGGTGACGATGTGTGATGCCGTCCTCCCTATCCGCCATCAATTGATCCTCGCCGATGCACTTCAAAGGCATGCCCCTCCATCATTTGTGCCCCCGCGGCGTCAAAGTTCGACATAACATTGCCACCGTTTGGTAGACAAGGACGAAGTGCAAGTGATGGGGTTAAGCTGTGCTCCCTCCGTGGATGAATGCAGTCATTCTGCCTCTTGTGTAGCCATGGCTTTTGCTTTTATGAAAGTTGGTTGATTCATCTTTCCCGGCTCATATTTCCGCATTCTGTAACCGTTCATCAAATGCCGACAACAGCGGGAGAGAGAGAAGGAGAGAGAGAGAGATACAGAGAAACCCAACCAAGGTCGGACCTCGGGTCGAAATGAGAGGCCTCTTCGTTTCTTTACTTCTTATCACGGGGTGCCATCACCGAAACCCCTCGAGCCGTTCCAAGGTCGCACGGCGTACCGTGTTATTAGCCTTGGAATTAGGGTTTCTCGGTCACTCTAGGTCACGAACCATCGCTTGTACGAAGCAGCATGGACATCAACAATCTACATCTATGGATGTATCAACGGTGCCCCAATTTTTATTTTTATTTTTTGGGACGGCGAGCGGCTAGAGCGGGAGCTAACGGCGTCAAGACTCAGGAACCCCAAGCCACCCCACATCCCCCTCTCCCTTTCTCCAGCGCTCAGGTTGACCTCGGCCATCAACCCAAGAAAAACTCCTCAATCACGATCAGAGCGGTTTCATAGTGTCGCATTATCGAGAATCTTCCAACGTCCGCCAGCTCAGACGAAGAGGCAGATCGATAGCAATATTTGTGGTAAGGGCTACCGAGGTAGATCTGGCCGAAGTCCTGCGCTCTCCCTTCATCTCCCTTGAAGTACGAAGTATTCTTAGGGGTCTGGCTGTCTAGCCCGGGCTCAATGATACGTGCGGACCGCCACCGCCACCACCCTGGCCCGACTTTCCCGCTTCCATCACCGCCTTTTACACCGTAAGAATCCAAGCCAAACAAGGCTCCACTCAGTCAATAGGGGCCTAGATCAGGGCATATTAGTCTCGATTCAGTCCGAAACAGAAACCCTCGTGGCCCAACTACCCGTTTGAGCTTAACGGCAGATCGGCAAAGCTCTTCCCCCTTCTCTCTCTTCCGGGGGACGAAGGGAGACCCGACCCTTCAACTTTGTGTAGTGTAAACTCGAGGTGGAGCTAGGCCCGGACGTCTCCACCGAAAAATGATGCTTTTCATCGAGGCTTGCTAGATCTTTCCGGCATCCTTCTACGGTTTCCTCCTTGTCTTTCGTGATTGTTCGGGATTGCAGATGGCATTCCCCGCCAGACACTAGAGGGGCTATGAGTTCAGTATGTTCAAAGGCGGCGTGTCTCCGAGGTCGGCATCCCCTGTGGCCAAAGTCCCCAATAGGCCCGGACCAGGCACCCATTGTCCAATTTCTGCCCAACCAGACGACAATCTCCCCTTTGAAACCCAGTGTTGTCTGTTGCTGGCCTCCCGAAAACGTCAACCATATCCCTGCCTGAGTCCCAAGGTCTCGGTTCTGGAAAAGAAACGACAAGGGATACGAAGGGTTTGCCTGGCACCCTCCCTCCTATCGGGAATACGGCCAACCACGCTATGATTCTCCAATGTCTGCCCCTTTCAAGACCATCAATTTCTACCGATACACTTGAGGTAGACCCTTCAACCTCAATGAGCGCCACAGCTTCCAAGACCCTATAGTATACCGAGGTAGAGATGGATGTTTCCCCATGCAAGCCACCTCCACGGGGAAGGGACAAGAAATGGAATTCGCTCGCACTCAGCTCTCTGACTCCAACCCTCTCGAATCTCGAACATAGATGCATCATTCTCAAGTTGTGCAAAGGGAGATATTCCCCAGACTCTTTTGATGCACGCCCTCCCCACCCAGTTGATTGATCCTTCACTCTCCCAGAGGTATATCCAAGTAAAGTGCTCATTCTTCACTTGGGTTCCCTTTAGGCATGAGCACAGGAGGCTAGTGCAGGTGAGGGCCCCATTCCCTTCTACTGGTTTGCCATCCATTGATGCCTCACCTCCTAGCAGGTCAATTGATCAATCAATCTTCGGTTCGACAATTGCGGCCGCCCCAGCCAGCCAATTGACTGGTCGAGGGTGGTGGAGTGCAGAGGTCAATCTGAACCCAAGTTCCCCGAAATCCTACCCTGAGGGGCTCGGAGATGACTAGCCACCTGGCATGAAGCTTCTTTTCCCCTCTCTCTCTCTCTCTCTCTCTCTCTGAGAATTGGAAATGGAAAGGGTTGCGCGCCAGGTCACTGGAGGGAGGGTTGATGCCACAGTCCAACCCGGATGTCCTATTGGGGCACTTATGACCTGTCCCTGTCCTGAGAGCTTCGTCCAGTCGGCTGATTTTCGCGAATACGTTTTCCCCCATCACGCAACATGACGAGGCCGGTGATGATAAGGGAAATGATACACGCTTGTGTAATATCATATGTCGAGTGTTGTCAATCCCCTCCCAAATAGTTGCGGTAAATATCGGCCTCATTTCCCAATCATGTCCTTTCAATCTTGGAGCGTCGCGATAATAGATCAATCCATCAATTTCATCCCTGACTCCTGCCGCGGAAGGCGCTATTTTGTTGCATCCAGCATCTACACTAGTAAGCTCCCCGGTGGCCTGTAAGAACGAACGTGGCAGGGTGGATTTTCCCGCTCTAGGCTTGTGGGATGCGAAAACAGTGTGCAACAAGGAGCCTGGCGGATTGGTAGTGGACCACTTGAGGAGAGAGTTTGTTCTCCAGCAACGCCGGGGCAGGGGGAGGGAGAGAGGACGCAAGGAGAGAGGGCGGGGGAAGCAAAGGAAGACATCCGAATCGGGCCCTGCAGTCACCAATCCCAAGACCCCACGTCAGCGATGGATGTTGAGCCCCGGATTGTCACTCAATTCGCAACCGATTTCCTAGATTGGTAAATGCATCATCCATGGGGATGCAATGGAATCCCTTCCCCGATAATAATGCCTAGGATGTCTGGATGTGTAGGAATCGAGTAATACACACGCACACACACACACACACGCGCGCACACGCGAGGAACATGGTCAAATCTCGGAATGAAAAGAAAATCTGAAAAGAAGTCGGCTCGACAAAGCCCAGCCCTGCGGCTTGGAACGATTGGGCAGAAAGAGACGTCAATTTACACGGAATGGCTGTCATCGCCGTGTGGCCTCCACGGCGCCTCGCGCCCTCTGCGCCCCTCTCTCTCGTTGATTTTGTAAATTTTCATCTTTTTCCTATTTTTCCTTTTTTTCAATCCTATCTATTACCTCATATACACGACATGGACACTATGCACGCAGCTCTTGGGCACCAATTATGCTCGTAAAGTGCCTTTTTTCATCTTCTTCTTTTTCTTCGAGCCAGGCCCGGGCTGGGGGACGTTTCGAGCCCATAGGCAGAACGGCAATCCGCAGGCTCGTTCAACGAGGCGCCGAGGAACCGAGAAGGAGTGGGGCGTGAGACATGGGCAGGAAGCAAGCAAGCCTCACCTCACAGCTGCGCGGAAAACATGAACATCTGGGCATTTTCGGGTCCTTGCATCATCCTGGGCCCTGCCCTCACGTTCGCAGGATGCCATGCCAATGTCGCGGCGTTTATCCCCCTCTCTTCTTTCATTTGTCTGCCAGCACCCCCTTTCTTTCTACATTGGATAACATCAAAGTAGACGCCGGGCTGGAGCCAGACATCTCGGCCAAACATCTCGGCCATCTAAATGCTAGTGTTTGATGCCATAGGAATGTGAAGGTATGGCATGCGCCGGAATTCCGGAGGAATCCAAGAGAGTAAAACAAATCTAATGCTCATCGCGTCATCTACCAAAGTATTCTGTATTGTACAAAGTGTTTTTGCTCACTTCACCATCCCGCCCTTCTTCCCCGTGCCCACCTGAGCCTCATCCCATCCTCTGGATGGCATGATTCGTTATAGTATACAAAATACATAACGGCGATTGGGAGTGAGGTATTATCTGCCAGATTGCAAAGAGATATGGGGTTTCAAAAGAAAAGAAAAGAAAAAGAGGAAAGAAAGAAAAATGACGACGAAGAATGGAGATGAATATGTAAGGTTGTGGCTGGATGAGCGACCTTGATCCGTCGCGGCCCCTCCTGCCGCTCGCTTTACCGCCAGAGTGATGAATGACGGGGAGTGCTCACGTCTACTTCGTATATGGGAAGGAGACAAGGTCTTGGTGAACGCCGATGCCCCAGTATGATCTAAATTCCCCTGCCAGCCGATGGCCCTCTGATGTTCGACAAGAATGGAGATTTTGAGCCAGTCCTTGCGGATGCTGATGACGGCATCCCCAGCGGGGATAGGCGACGAAGGGATAGAAGAAGGGAAAAGGGAGGAAATAAATGCACAACGCTGTCTACCGTACCCAGATGTAGTGAAGAAAACAAAATGCCGAGATGCAACCCCGAGATAGGGGAAAGGGGGAGTGGCATCTTAATCGTCTTCTTCTTCCGCTTCTACCTTGGACTTGTTGTCCTTGGCCCATTCGCAGATCTTACAGGTGTTGGCCGCCTCCTTGTTGATATCGGGGAATACCAGGTCAAAGACCTCCGAGTACCAACTCACGGGCTTGCCTTCGATGCCCTCTCTTATGTTCTACAAAGTTCAATACAAGTTAGTATTTCCGGACGAGATCAATAATAGTAGAGTGAGCTCGGGTTGGGGGAAGGGGAGGAGGGGCATGTTCACTGACCTCTGGTAGTTCCAACCAGTCCGAGAGGTTATCCTTGGGGAATATGATCATTTCACAGCCTGCACGACGTGCGGCCACGGTCTTTCCCTCAGCCCGCCAATACGGAGAACCTTGCCAGTCAGCGTGATTTCGCCCGTCATGGCAACTGTGGGTACGATCGGTGTGTCGAGGGCAAGCGAGATCATCGACGTCGTCATGGTGATACCTGCCGAAGGCCCATCCTTGGGAACCGCACCATCGGGGACGTGGAGGTGCATCTTCGCCTTCTGGAAGAAGTGATTGTCCGGGAACTGCTTAACCATGAAGGATTTGACGAATGAGTAGGCAATGGTCGAAGACTCCTTCATCACGTTTTTGAGGTTTCCGGTAATCTCTAGGCCGGGTCGGGTATGCGGCCTCAAGGGGCTCTGCAGGATCGATTCCACGTACAGCGCGGACCCACCGAGCTGCGTCCAGGCCAGGCCCATGGCAACACCGGCAGGGTTAACGTCGTAGAGCCTGTCAGAGGTGAATACCGGAGGCCCAATGTATTCCGAAAGCCCCTCTGCACCGATGGAGACGTGGACGCTGTCGGGGACCTTCAAGGCGCGGGGCGCTTCTGCGGTCTTGGCCGTTGCTTCTCCCGTCGCCGAAGTCAGAGTTTCCGAGTCTACGGTCGATTGAGCCGATTCCTTGGGGGCGCTCGGCCGCGGTCGAGCTCTGGGCACTGCTTCCCTCCGCCGTGTCGTGGGCAGCCTCATCTTTGGCGGACTGGAGCTCGCTGTCCGGCAAGTCCTGGACAATCTTGAGGGCTGCTTTTCTGTACACTTTTTCGATTTGCTTCTTGAGGTTGCGCACGCCCGATTCTCGGCAGTACGACTTGATTAGTTCGTGAACGGCATCTTCGGTAAGCTCCACGTCCGCCTCCTTCAATCCCGCCGCTTCTTTGGCCGCGGGAGCGAGATAGCGCTTGGCAATCGCCATCTTCTCATCCGCCACGTAACCAGACAGGGTGATTAACTCCATGCGGTCGAGGAGGGGCCTGGGAATAGTGTCCGTCATGTTGGCCGTACACACAAACAGGACCTTGGACAGGTCTACCGGAACGTCCATGTAGTGATCGAGGAAGGATCCGTTCTGTTCAGGGTCGAGCAGTTCTAGGAGAGCGGACGAAGGGTCTCCCTGGTATCCCCGGCCAATCTTGTCGATCTCGTCGATGAGGATCAGGGGTTCTCGGTCTGGCATTTCTTGAGGGCTTGAATGACGCGGCCCGGAAGAGCACCGACATAGGTACGCCTGTGGCCCTTGATCTCGGCAACATCGGTAAGGCCGCCTACGCTGAATCGATAATACTCTCTGTTGAGAGCTCTGGCGATAGACTTGCCGATACTAGTCTTTCCGACACCAGGAGGACCGACAAAGCACAGAATCTTGCCCTCGACAGTCCCCCGAAGCTTGCCAACAGCAATAAATTCAAGGATACGGTCCTTGACATCTTTAAGACCATAGTGGTCTTCATTGAGGACATCCATGGCGTGGCTGATTCCGAAATTCTCAACACTCCGCTGACCCCAGGGGATCTGAGTAAGCCAGTCGAGGTAATTTCTCGTGACGTTGAACTCGGATGCTGCCGTCTCAAGATGGGCCAGCTTGTTGATTTCTTCATCAAAGACCTTGCGGACCGCTTCGGGCATGGCAAGCTTCTTCGCCCGGTCCTTGAACTTTTCAATCAACTTGTCCTTGCCGTCCGTCTCGAGGCCAAGCTCGCGCCGGATCCCCTTCATTTGCTCCATCAGCCAGTACTCGCGTTGACGTTTGGTGATCTTGTTCTCGACGTCCTTGCTGATTTTAGACTGGAGCTGGGCGTTCATGAGTTCCTTTTTCAAGAGAGTGAGAGCTTTGTGCATGCGATCCTCCACGTCCAAACTAGATAGGATCTCCTGGAGCTCAGCCGTCTCACCCGAAGAGACGGCGGCGGCAAAATCGGCGAGTTTTGCCGGGTCCGCAGTGACATTTCCAGTTTGGCTCATGGAAAACGTAGATATTTGATCACGGAAAAGATTGTTGATAGAAGCGACCTCCTTGAAAACGTTGACAATCTCGTTCGTAACCGCTCTCACAAAGGGACTTTTGGGATCGTACGGCTCCTCGCTAAGGTTTTCGACGTTGACAAGGCTGACGGGATACTTCTTTAAGAAGCTCGTGGGTTCGTACTGCTGGTTAGGATCGGGCTTGGGGACGACGGCGGACTCTTCGAAGCTGGCAACAACATCGCCCTTAGGCTCTTCTGCCTCCACCACCTTTTGCGGAATGGGTTCGGGCACCGGTGGCAGGGCGGCAGTATCGGTCTTCTTCGCGTCGGTCGTGGTGGTGGTGGTAGTGGTGGTGGTAGGGGGATTAGGCTAGAGAGGCGGATACGACGGTGAGGATAAAGAATGGCAGTGATGCCTCCATCTTGGCCATGGATGGGGAAGGCACTGGTGATTTGTGCGAAAACACCAACGTCGTAAACATCATCCACGTTCCGTATTACATCAGCATCCTTGGTCTCATCCTTGAAGAGGAAGGTGCCCACATAAGGCTGGCCGCGCTTGATCATCTCGGTGATGGCGTTCGCGACATCCGGGTCTTTGATGGTTATGGCTTTGTAAAACCCGGGGAACAACGGCCGCTTCGTGATGGGAAGAGCGAGAACCTGCGGATAGACCTCGGGGACGACGGGCTTTTGAAGACCTTTTTCCGCGCCCTTCTTGCCCTTCTTGCCACCGTTGTCGGATCCGTCGCCCGTGCCACCCGTGCCTCCGGCCGAGGACGTCTTAGCATCCTTGGGACCAGTGGCATTTTCATTTTTAGCCGAGGCTACCAGCTCATCGTCCTTGGGCGACTTGGACTTCTTGTTAGGCTCGTTCGTGGATGCTTCTTCGACAGCTCTGGACTCGTCGGGTTTCGCTTTTCCGTCTTCCTCGTTTCCGGGCTCGATTGACTTGTCGAAGAAATCGCGGTCGCCATCTTTGTCGTCCTTCCGCCTAGGGAGTGCGTGGAAAAGGCCGCTAACTGCTGAGGCGAAAGCCGCGTGTGCGGGAAATGAGGGATACCGGCGGGTTGCGATGTCGTGCGAGCGAGCAATCGAGTCGCGCGGGCCCTCGGTATCCGAGCCAAAGGGTGGACGATGGCCTGTTTTAGGCATTGCCTAGACAGCTGTGATCGCACGAGCATGTTGCGGATCGCGCTTTAGCTGGTGACAGCCGCCAAAGCGAGGCTAAACCGTGCCGCTCGAGGCAGAAGAGAAAACGCGCTCTCAGCTGGTGTCGTCGAGGGGGAGGGAGGAGAAGGGCTTTGGCAATGGTGTCGAGGGTAAAGAGGGATCAAGGAATAAGCGGCCCAGCTCTTGACTGGCAAACCACCCGAATTAGCTAGGATGTGATTTATAAGAAGACTGTTCAAAGTGGAGGTGGTTTTTTCTTTCTCCACTGAACCTCGTAGAAACATTTGGGGCAAGAGCTTCGTTAAAATGATAGCGTAAGCAGGGAGTTTTTTCCGCATGGCTCGAGCTCGGAATATCCTCGGAAGGCCGACTTTTACCTTTCGACCACAGAAAGCTCATGCTCCAAACAGAGAGTGCATGCGAAACCGGCGGCGAGCTGCTTGCACATCGATCCATGCCAGTTGTTCCTCGCTGATTCCAATTTGAAGGCAGACGTTTATTCACCCGGCCGAAGCTCCTTGCGGGAAGAGACGCTAGTCAGGATGATGCATTCCGGTAGTCTGCCTGCAAGAATTGAGACAGCTCCTGTTCTTGTCACCTCCCTAAAACAGAAGCAGAATGAGAAAACCTCCTCCCAACAAAGATAGGATTGCCCTGCTCGGCTAGAGGCAAAGGTGGCGGCCAGTTTGTGCAAAGTTCTAAAGGGACATGGACTACGAAGGTATCTTACAGCTAGTTCTGCTGAACTCGGTTGGGCTTATCCACCCAAGAGAGGCACACGCACACTATTAGACGAGAACCGCAATGGCGCAGGCCTAGCGTTGGAGCACCAAATCCACAGAGCTACCGCCCTTCACAGGCTTCAGCTCCTTACATGTAGACACCGGAAGGCATAGATCCATCGGATCTACACCCGCCGCGAAGCTAGGGGGCTCGGATGGTTCCCATACACTGCAGTTGGAGAGAAAAACGATGGGGGATCCAGCTCAGGTTCAAAGACGGGGAGATGAGCTTGCGCCTCGTACCAAGCGAAGTCAGGCTACAAGCACAAGTAAACCCGAAGAATCCGGCCCGATGCTACGACGGCAAGCATTTGACGGGCTGAAGGGCAACGCAATGCTATGATTTCCAAGTCCCAGCCTGAGGGATCTCTATCAAGAACAGCAAAAGTGTGGTGGTAATAGGAGTGAAGTATTTTCAATTATCACCCACACCATCAAGGGACCACGACAAAAAAGGACGGTCATCACCAAAGTAAAGCTGAGGGGTCATTCATGCCCTACCAATTATTCCCGATGAATCTTCCGAGTTGACCGGATGATGTACATCGATAGATGTATACGCAGCCTACCAGCGACGCCCGCCCTAATAAAAGCGGACTCGACGATGGCGGGGGCGAAGAACCTAAAGTGTAGCTCTCCAAGTTCAAAGCCATTAGATCGATCCATCAATCCAATGCCACAGCGAAGGGGAAGAAGGCCCATGCCACCCCACCTGGCCTGTCACCTTGGTGAGCCAGCGCAGCAGTCCTCCGGAATGCCATAAATGGGGTCACTTTGGGCGGAGGAATCCATCAAGAAAGCAACTTCATCACATCTCCGACCCGTAGGTGCAATCTATTCCAGTCGGGTTGCGGTTTTCACGTTGCTTTCCTCGAGACAGGTATGTATTAAAAGCAGCGGCCGTCGCCCTCTTGTCCACTCAGACTTGGGTCGAGGGAATAAACATCCTCTCTTGCCCGTCCTTTTTTCTCTCTCCTCTTTCTTTTACTGCCCCGCGTCGCCCCTCCCATCATCCATATATCCATTGGATATATATACATAGCACTTACACCCCCGCCCCCTCACGAAAGCTGTGGCACATGCTCTTTGACAGAAACCACTTGGGAATTTTCCTGATTCTAGCCTTGGCTACCCGCAGACAGTGCAACCAAAGCCACGACAAGCATAGAGTCGCCTTGCCTGTGCATTGCATCCAGCCGCATTCCGCACTGCACCTTTGCTTTGACGACACCAGTCTTTTTACCAGCCTTATCAACGGTTCGCCATCATGTCAGCCCCGAGACAGAAGAAGGACGTAGCCTCGTCCCTATCGAACCTCTCCTCGGCAACCCTAAGCAAACAAAAGCTAAGTCGACAAAGAAGGTTGCCGACTCCTGGGAAGACGAGGATTTGTCCTCGGCTCCGAGGAAGAAAATGCTCGCGCAAACCCCAAAGGCAGTGCATCCTTGCCCTCTGCGCCGCCACCAACTCCCACCACCGCATCACACCATGCGGCGGATCCGTCCTACGTCCCGGACTTCTCATCTGGCAATTACGTTCCCATGTCTCCCGGCGCACCCGACGGCAGGAGGCCCGAGAAAACGGACGCCGTCGCCCGGCGGATGATCGCCGGGGCACTCGGGGTCAAGGCGCCAAAGCAAACGGAAGAGCAGAAAGCCTATGACCGGGCGATCAAGGAGCAAGCAAGGAAGAAGAAGGAGGAAGAGAGGGAGGTAGAACGAAAGCGACAGCAGGATGCTGACCAGGCCAAAGCTGCCATGTGGGGGAATAGACTGACTACCCGACAGAGAAAAGAGAAAGAAAAAAGTTTGCTCTTGGCGATCCCGCAACAAGTTCTCATTCCGTTCTCGTTCGCATCTATTCCTGTCCTTGCCTTTTCCCTTTCCAACGTCTAAAAGATATCGGATATAGCCCAGTACAAACGCGGGGTTCCCAAGCTTATCGGCGCGTGATCTTCATGTCGGTAGGAACTATTACATTTTTGTTTGGAGTTCTAGGAAACCACATACGAATCTGCGGTTGGGCCAATTGCCTTGACCCATGACTTGGCCGGAGAGGAAACCCGCCCGTGATGGTGACCACCGAACCCGAAGCATGCGGGATCGCTTTGGGTAATCCGGTCTGCCTCCCACCACCCGCACGCATCCACTATCACACTCCTTTCTATAACTACCCTTCTATGCCGCCGTACAAGCTTGGAGCAAGGGTGTCGGTCACCCAAACCTCGACCCCGATCCCGTCTAATTAATTTGGGAAATAAGGTCACAAGGCGTGACCGTGGTAGGAAGCTATTTCTGAGGTTTTCTCGCTGCCAGACGACCCGATTTAGTAGATTGGCGAGAGGGTTTGCAACTGGGAGACTGGCAAGAGACATGAACTGTGGACTTAGCTTCGGTTCGGACGGCTCGATATTGTTAGTTTCGACTTTCTGGTTCGAAGGCGTTCGGCGGGTGGGGAGGCTGCCGGGTCGTTCGTTATCAACGCGGCTTGCCTTTGGCGAGCATTGGCCCCAAAAACAGAACCTAGGTAGGACCCATTCAATCGACAAATGGTCCATCTACTGTTGATGCTCCCCTTGATACGTCAAGATAGTGGCATGAAGTGAATGATTAGATACAGCACTGAGGCTAGCGAGTTGGCAACCTCAAAAGCTCAGGACCCTCAGAACTGTGCATCCATTCCATTCTCATCTCAGCAACATTAGATATTGAGGTATTAGCCAACCTCAAGTTGATATTAATCAGGGGATGCATCCATGGATAGATCTATCTGGATTCATTGAGTCTAGCTCATCCGGTTCCCACCAGTGGGTGGATGACGGGTAGTGTGCTGGTCGTGCGCTGTGCTTCAACCAGGTGGCGAGTTGGCCACTGTCTGGTGTGTCAAGAGCGATCGTGCACTCCCTGTCCCAGCCAAGGAGATTAATCCCGGCCCGTCGAGCCACCGCGCGCCAACCACTGAACCACTAAAATCTTGCGGTCACAAAATATTGGTTCTAGTTGGACTTGCACAATTTCCCTTCCGTCCCTGGGCGCAAACTTTGGGGAAGGAAAACACGAGCACTTTCGTCTTGAATTGATTTAACATCAAAGTTTTCTCCGGGTTATTCCAAAGCGGAAAAGGGGTTGATAGCCTTTGCAACACCTCGATGAAACCGTCATCTACCTGGACCCATGGATTTCGCCTGTCCCGCCTCTCCCGCTTGTCCCTTGACGGCGCGAGGCTGCAAAGCCCATCTCTTCCGCGGCGCCGCGCCGGAAACTCATCATCCCCGGGGCCTCGTCAAACACCCACTCTGGCCTGAAGACTTTTCTCAGGTACGCCCAGAAATCTGGCCTCAATCCCAAATCTACCGTATACGTCGGCACCCACTACGAGTACACAGTGGCAGCGAGCCTAGCCTCGTACGGGTTCTCCTCCAGCGCGTGGGTGGTGCCTCGGACTTCGGCATCGATCTTTAGGAACGTGGCTTCTCCCCTCGTCCGAAGAACCGTTAAAAACCCTTGTGCAATGTAAAGCGGGAGCTATCGGCCCGCATACTATCCGCGAGCTCGAGGGGGCCTTTGTCGGCGCGCCTATCGGCTGGAGAAGCCAGGGGTGCTTGGGATCCTGGCTAGCCGGAAGCCGGCGACCAAGGGAGTGGCGGATGCGCTAGCTCGCAGCCGATGGCCCATGGTCTTTGTCTGCTGTTCGACCGACGGGGTTATATCCCAGGTTCGGTGGAATCATCGGGCAGAGCTGGATGGCCTGGAGGGTCTACATGCGGCGTTGCGCTACACGGAGGACCAGAAGGCGGCGCCGCACATCGCCCTAACGTGGAAAGGGAAGCCACTCTCAGATATTCCCACGACCGATACAGCTGAGGGAGGTGGATGAACCCTTTTGCGCAAGCTTGCACAGGACAGGACGCGCCGCGAAAGCTTAGTGCGCTTTGCTGCGGCCATTCCCCGGGAGCTTTCACATCTCTGTTGCTGGCTCGACCGAGATGGCTTTTGGGACACATCCATATATCTGTTTAGACGTGCTGGACGGATCGGCAATCTGCTCGGGAACCCCAGTATGAAAGACCAGGTTTAGATTCCAACGGCTATGACATCGGAAGATGGGCTAGAGGCAACCATATTGCATCTCCTGGCTTCCCATGCCACTGACGGAACTACGGGGGTTGGGGAGGGTGGGGGTCTTGGGTACAAAGGTTCAAAAATCTCAAAACTACTACCTAGGATAGGAACTATAGATCGCGTGTCGAAGGGACATCGGGATTAGAGATGATACTGAATAGGGCCAGAGAGGTGCCGTGTGCGGTAAGCTTCAACAGCAAGCGCCTCAAATCAACCTCGGCCTCTAGAGGGAATGGAAAAAGTGCAAAGGGAGAAGCACCGGATCCAGGATTATATAACTCTTGGTTGGTTTTATTGATGCTATGGATCAATTCATGTCAAGATTACTAGGAAGCTACTACATAGAACGGAACAAAGGTATTGAGGTGTCAAGCTCCTCTCCCTGCACCACGCGATCAGCGCGCAAGTATGAGCAGTGGTCGGATCCTCGGGATCTGTTCTCCGGACATTCGTTCTCTACACTGAAACCTCGACCTGCAAATCTTCATATTCGTAAAATTTTGTGTTAATGTGGCTGACCAGGATTTTGTTTTATTAGCCATGAAATCGGTCCCGGAGATTTATATTATTAGTAGGAACTTAGCTCCCACCAGGAAACTCAGCCGGGTCCCAGATTGATTTGGAGAAAATCACCCACACGGAATTTTTCCCCTTGTTCTTTGACAAGGCTGATTGATCAACTGCTGAACCCCACCTGCACCTCAAAGAAAGGCTGAACGCACCTCAGCCGCGCGCCTTCTTCAATCTCGCATTTCGTCGTGCCGTCAACATTCATCCGCAAGGCAGCAACAAGCTCAACTCCGACCACTCCCCTGTACAATTTCTCCCGTCCGCCAACAACTTCTTATCGGTCACAATGGATAGGCTAACGCAGTTACAAGATGCTGTTGACCAGGTGAGGAGCTCGCGCGCATCTCCCGACCCCATCCCCCGCAATCCATCTTCCGCGCTCCCTTTCCGCCCCATGCTAGAGCCATCGATAGCTCTTTTCCTTCCCTGTGCCCGTAGACATCGTACCTCTTTCTAACGTGCATGCAATCTCACCACCAATAGCTCGCTCTCCAATTCGTCGCGTCAATCCACTTTGCGCATAAACGACACGACCTCAAGAAGCTCGGCCCCACGGACAAAATACGAAGCGTGAAGCAGGAGGAGGAGAAAGAAGGTAAACGAAGCCCGTTCCCTCGCCCCTTTTTTCCTTGGTAGAGGTGCTAATGCGGAGATTGATCAAATTCGCAGTCGACCCGCTCCCCGAAGAAGAATTCCGCGCCGGGCTCACGGAGCTGTCTCAAGACCTCATCGTCAAAGAGCAGCAGATCGAGGTGCTCATATCCACACTGCCGGGGCTGGATAGCAGCGAGCGTGACCAAGAAAAGTGCATAAAGGAATTGGAGGAGGAACTCAAGGTAGCTGAGGATCAACGGCAGGATGCATTGAGAGAGAAGGAGAGGGTGGTTGGCCAACTCGACAAGATCCTGAAGACCGTGAGGCGGCCATGATTCTTTCAGCATAGTGTCCGCGACAGGACTTGCTTTCTTGTATTTGCATACCCAGGCGTTTTCCCTCATTAATCGGTTTCCGTTTCCCTGCCCTCTCTTTCTTTTCTCTTACAGCATGGAGTTCCATCGGCCCCCGTTTGGAGGATCGGGGTCTTCAGTAGAAGTGTATATATCCTTGAAACGAAACTGCTATTATAAGACACAAGACGCACAACTAAACCAAGCCTATTTATGAACCGATCTAGAGTCGCGTATTGACGCTAGCCATACCAACGCCTACCGTGTGCGCACATCAAAAGTGCTAGGCCCCATCTGAGAGCCATGTGTTATCTTCTCCTCTACCTCATGCCATTCCCTGACTCTACACTCTGCACCTTACGCACTGCCTCGGCAGAATCCAGCCTTTCCTAAACCCCACCATTTCTAGATTTGAAGAATTGCGGAAATATATCCCGGAGTTGTAGCAAGCTTTGGATTTGATGCCTACACGCTGGCTTTTCCGGGATTGGTGACCCTTCCTCTAGTAGATGGGCGGTTGACCAGCCAAACTCCTCAGCTTTACTACAGTTCAAGTACGAGTCGTCTATGCGAACATGTTAGCCTCAACGGGTGGCCAAGACATGGCTGGGCTGGAGCTGGATCGCCAAAACTGAAAGCGCGATTGGAGGTAAGTGGCACACATACCAACGAAGAAGCAATCCTCCACTCTAGACACCCCCGCTTCTCTCATGCCCTTTTCATACATAAGCCTGTTTGGCTTGCAGATCAGAGGGGATCGCGAGTAGTCACAGTAGGTTATGCCCTCGAAAAGATCGTCGACCTCGAGGAGCTTAGTGACGCGCTTCCCGTGGTTTATATAGGCATTTGTGAACAGCCACATCGTAACCTTGGTCTTGTCTATGTCTTCGAGGAGGCTCCGCAGCTCCGGGTCCGGGACAATGACATCTTCAAGAACGAGGGCGTCGTCTACCTTGGTGTTGTACTCGAGCGGGTCAATTTGATGATGACGCACGAGTCCTTCGATGGCCAGACCATAATTTTTATAGTACTCACTATGGAGTCTTATGGCTTCTTCCTCTGGCAGATCCAGGTGCTTCTGGAAGTACTGATCGATGAGAAGCGCCATCCGATCGTGGACCCGCCTGCCTGTATAAAAGGTGGTTAGCTGCATGGGTTCTCCAGCAGTGCGCATTTGCACAGCGCGCATTGTGTACCGTTGTTCTAGGAAAACCTACTCTTCGAGTATAGGCAGTTGTCAATGTCGCTAATATGCAACGTTAGCAAGGTGAGCGAGGGGGCAAGGCGCGTGACGCGTGCGTAGAGGAGGCCTACAAGAAAAATACGGGCTTTGTCGACGTGGCACTGTCACCATTGCGGTTCTCGTCCGCAGCCATGGCGCTTTTTGAAAATTTCCGGGATGCGGGGAGGGTTCTAGGGGAAGGCCGCCAGGTCCGAGTTCGTGACACGGAAGGACGTGCAAGGAGCGGGTTGAACTGTAAATGGGCGGTGGCGGTCGCCCCTGAGATCCGTCGTGGCGAATCGCAACTGGCTCTTCTAAAGGGGAGCAGATGAGTCAACGATGGTGATGTTCGATGAACAGTCTGCAATACTTTCGTGGCAGGCAGGTTACTACTGCTAGACAGGCAAACACCAGCTCTCTGCGAAGAATAGCCAAGCATCTTCGGAGAGCAAAACCCCACATGCACTTCTCGAGTTAGAAGGATCGCATACGCAACGAACTTCCTCTTTGAAGCTGGCTTGTCTCATCGACGTTGTTCTGTGGGGTAGTAGGTGGGGGTAGAGCGGGATTAATAATTCGACCCTAGTTAGGAATGGAAGAAATGCGACTCTCGACAGACTACGTTTTGATATCTTGAGCATCAAATACGGCTACAAAAGCAATATTCTCGTTCTCTTGGATGGGACATCAAACGCAGGTCAAGAAACTTGTAAATGCGAAGCTACATAGTAGCTAGGTCTCTTTGCTCTACCTGCAATGTGATTCGTCTTTATTGATGCAGACGGTGGGCGTTGGATGGACCCCTCAACATTGCAGAGGAGCCGTGCCCCAAGATCTCAGTATTGCAGGAGTTGTGCTGCACGCCCAAGCACCTTTGATCCTGCTGGCCCCGGAATTGCTCATTCAGTGTCGAATGATGGCAGAGGAACAGATCAGTCAATAGCCATGTACGCCCGCCGTATGAAGAGGGGTTGCGAGACCAATACCAATCGCAACGCGTTTTGTTTGGCAGTGGACGAGGCTCGCGACACTTTCTGTGCGCGAATAAACCTGCTTCCTGAGCAAATCCTCCGTTATGGCCCCATCGATTCGAGCCAAATTAGTTGACGCAGTGTAGTGTCAAGGATGTCGGGCCACAGGAACTGACATCAAAATCGAGCTTCAATGCAAAGATGGATGGAACCATCTTGCTGGATGGATGGATTCATGATCCATTGTGCGTTTACGTGTATTCTCGTTCGACAGCAGCTTAAAGCTAGGGCCATGAACACGGGCTGGCCGTAGAATATACGCTGCAAGACACCTCAGCAGACGCTGCAATGATAGCGACGCAGAAGGATCACAGTTGTCGCAGTCGAGGGTCGCATATCAGATGTGCTTCTCGATGTTCCTGATGTATTCTATTCTACCAGTTACTGCTTGGTGATGGTTATGCAATCACTGAATCTGATTGATCTATTCCTTCCAAGCTTCCCACTCAAGTCACTGCAGGGTTCTGCCTCTATTTTCTGGCGCTCAAGGATGTGTCTGGACTGGGAGGACAAGCTGCCGATATGATTGGCCAGAGACGCGCGAGTGGAGAATCTTCCAGTGAAGCTCAAACTCGCATTTAATTTGCCTGTCTTCGCAGTTCCGTATTTTTTTCCACCTTCAAGCAACCTTTTCTCGGAACTTCATTCCCAACTAACATCCCTTTCCAAAGAGCAGCTTCAACCATTCATTTGATACAAATCTGCCGCTGTATATAATTACTGAGGCTCTTCTACTATCTCGTGTATGATTGCTGTTGGAAGTCATCGTATTATCGCACAGAGTTGGCTCGCCATTTGATGCAAGCTTCAACGTACCTTCTACGAGGGTAAACCCGGCAGCTTCTGGGTTCATTTTGGCAAAGCAATCAAGTTTGCGGGCTGCCATGGCGGCGTCGGGCCCTGTTACGGTTGGCGGCTTATCCGCAAATGGAGCATCAAGCATCACCGTCCCCCAGAGGAAGGCGACTGGCCCACTGACAGAGGAGGAGCAGTTTGTGATTCGGGAATGTCAGAAAATCGTCCAGTTCAAGGACAAGATCCTAGCTGGCACCCATCGCAAGATCCAGCTTCCGCCGCAGTTCGCTGCGAAAGGTGCCCCCTCCCAAAAGGCCTCGGCCCCCGACCCCCGATCGATGGCGGGTGCGCCCAAGCAATGGTCACGTAGTCGTCAGGCGAATCACGAGTCTGTCGGCGTTGGTCGGCCCCCAGGCTGGGGCACCGATCCCATCCTCATCGAAGCCGTTTGCTACCCGCACCACGGAAATAAACCCCATCTTTCTTGAAAAGTCTGATGAATTGATAAGAGCCGAGTTAAAGTTGGAAAGAGATAAGCTCGAACGGGCAATAAGGGAGGAGGTTGATCAACAAAAGAGATCCAAGTTCGCCGCCGCTCAGGCCGAGCTTCCCAAGATGATCTAGATGTATCTGATGTTTTTGCCAAGGCACAGGAGTTTGTACAGGCGGCTGCGGGTCCCCCGTTCCCGGCACTGGGAAAGCCACTAATGCTGCAGCTGACGAGGACACCTCTTTCGACGAGAACGACTACTACTCCTCCAGGCACGATACCCTCGAGTCCCGCGACACTGCCGCCGAGCCTGTGCAAGTCGAGCCTGTGGAGGCTGTCGTAGCCTCGCGGACGGCCGAAAACCCGTCGCCCCTCCTACTGGGCCGAAGCGTCCAGGCCCCTTTCACCACCAACCGCCGGCAGGCCCACGAGCGGACGGTTACCCGCCTGCTCAACCGGCGCGGTATTCGCACCAAACTCTCCCTCCCCGCCCCATCTCCCGCAAGACGTTCCCACATCTAACCCTGCTCCCCAGTTAGCCCCTGCTGGCGCGGATAGTAGTGGCGCGCATGGAGGCGCGAGAGATAGACCTGCGGGCCAAGAATTGAGATCCGCAAGAGCGAACCCGGGCCGCACTGTCCACGATTCGTTGGAGAGCGGCGAGGCGACGCAATCAGACGCCTCCATCCGCCCAGAGACCGTCACGCACCCACAGCCTATAAAGGACACACAGCTCCCCGCGAACCAACCTCGAGCCGCGCCCCTTGTTCGATCGCACAACTTGACGCCGATTGCGCCGCAAGCCGCCCATATTTCCTCCCTGCTTGGCGCACAGTCTGCCCTTCTTCCGAGTGCGGTTGACTCTCCTCTCGATAACGGGGTCCACCGAGGTGCGCCCGCGCAGGTAACGGCATTACGAGGTGAGCTCCGAGGAATATCTAGCCCCGAAAGCTCGTCCCCAAGAGCAAAGGCAGGCGACAAGAGAAAGGGGAAAAAGAAGAACAAGCGAAAGGCAGATGGGTTCGGGCAGGATGCTTCGTCGACGCCCTACATCAAGCCTGAACCACGATCGCCATCTCCCCTTTCTACCCCCATTAACATTCGCCCGGCAAAGCGTCCAAAGCACGGACAGCCGTATGGCCTGCTGCCTGAAGACCTTACGCAGTCCGCTCCGGGCCGCGCCGAATACAATCAGGTAGCGAGACCTGACCAGGCGGAGCGAGTTCCTGCCGGATACGGCAGACGCGATGACCTCTATCAATCCGGGCCGGGCGGCGTGGAGCCTGCTTATAGTCGGTTGTATCGGGACGACCCTCGTGGCACTTCTCAATTTTCCCGACAAGGCCAGTCTCCCGGACTAAGGTATCCCGTTCGATATGCGGACGAACCTCCGCACCCTGTGAGATCAGCCTCCCAAGCGCTACCAGGCCGTGGATACTTTCAAGACGAATATGCGCGGGTTGACTCTGATGGCCTTGGCCCAGGCCTTCAGCGTCCTCCCCACGGCGTGTGCTGGTTGACGAATACGGCCGTGAATATCTCGAACCGCAGCCCCTCCGGCAATCAGTGGCTCCCCTGCGCGGTACAGCGATGCCGATGTCATATACGAAGGCACGGCTCCCATCCGACATTCCGTCGCGCCGCAGGTGCGGCCGCGAGATGCGGATATCATCTACGAGAGAACTGCCCCGGTACCTGCCATGGCCCGAAGGGCCGGGCCTGAAATGTATGAAGAGGACGGGGTTGTTTATAGACGCCTCTCTCCGCCACCTTATATGGGGCCCCGGCGTGTGATAACTCAACCCGAGTTCGGCCCCTCGGATGGGCTGGCATATCAACCCCGCGGATACTCTGTTAGGCCAGTGGGGCCTCCGGTTGACGAGTATGCGGCCGACCAAGGGTTCACTGATCGGAGAGCTATTGAGGCACCGCCTCGTCAGTATCTCACGCGATCAGCAAGCGTTCGGCCGCTGGAGCCTGTCAGGTATGAATACGCGGCAGATACGAGGGCCAGGGTCCGGGGCTTAGGCCCAGAGGCTGAGTACGCGCCCCTTTCTCGACCGGAGAGTCGTGTTGAACTCATGGCACCCCCGCCAGCTCGTGATTACGGGCCCCGCCACGTTGTGCAGCGCTCTTATAGCGTTCGACCTGTCGAGCAGTACTACAGCCAACCGGCACCCCTTGATGATGGGGAGGTGACTTATATTGAGAGGCCCCCAGTGCGCCCGGATGTGGTTTACGCCGGTGAACCTCGGAGAGAAGTGTATAGGTGAACAAGTGAGGATCAAGAAAAGCAGCAAGCGTGCCGTTTCGGGACCCGCGTATTCTCCGTTCTCGAGTTGCCAATTTGCGCCGAGCTGGTGCGTTGGATGAGTAGGAGGTTCTGCCCGCCCCCACCCCCGTATAGTGTATGAGTATTTTCGATCATTGAAGGTATCACCTCGGATGAGGCTGAGTAGGCGGTTTAGGGTCTAACTATGGATGCTTCTTTTTTCTTCTCCATAGAGTCTAATTTATCTAATTCCCTTTATCACACTCTCATCGTTCGTACCCTCCCCGGCGCACCCTTCCGGGCGGGCTCCTTGAAATAATTGAGACGAGGCTCGACGCTAGACGGGTCGTCGTTCCATTCTCCATGTGGAAGCAAGCCACGTCAGAGTGACCTAGGGAACATGCGAAAAACCAGTCTATAATTCAGGTGAAAAACGAGGTTACCACGATAAATGTAAGAGACCGAAGACCTGGAGGGTTCTCTAAGACCGACTCCTCTGCCATTTCCCCCTTCTCCTTGTCCCATATTCTAGACTTTCAGTTTTTTATTTATTTATTAACCCTTGGATTATATTTATCAACAGTTCATGTGCTCACGATGGACTAGAATAGAGATAGTAAAAGAGGGAAGCCATCCGTGACCCAAGTGCAATTTTACGGCGGCTATCGGCACACGGTAGCATGGAGAAGTGTTTCCAAACTCATGAGATGCACCTTGCTAGCCACCAAGGTTAGATTTATAACCTTCTGGCGTGATGCCATCAGCTCCTCAAGTCCTAGGCTCAGGAGATCCAACCAAGGCACTATGAATGGCAAGCTTTCATTCTGTCGAGGTTGAATGGAGGGTAGAAACTATGTGCTCTCACTGTGCTATCATCTCTACGTAAACACAATCACTATTTTTCTTCCCACTTCTCCTTTGACGAATGCTGTTTACGTAAATGGCCATCTTGCGAGGGCATGATTTGCCGGATATGCTGGCTGGCTTCAAAATTTCTCTCCCCTCCCTCTTCTTTGTTCAAGTGGCTTCCGTCCGCCTAACTAAAAGGCGTTTAGTGTGTGCAGTTGGGAAGAAGCTTGGCTGTTTAGCTCGGCTGATCGATGACTTGATCGAGGCTTTAGGCTGGCCATGGTCTATATCACTACAGGTATCTGGATCTAGAGTATGCCGTATGCTTCGGCTAGCTTGGACTCTTCAGGGTTTTAAAACTTGCTGGTAATGGTGTGTGGCCCCCTGGATCCTTCTTTGACAGAACATTGTGTAGATGGCCTCATCTGTCAGATTTGAGCGACGTAGCACGACCAAATGGCCGATCCAGGGGCCTTCCTCTTGCAAAGAAAAAAGCAAGGACGAATGATTGATTACGGGGCTCATATTTGATACTGTTCACGGAACTCGACAAAGAAGAAACGAGATGGAAGCATTGCGCGCTGTGTGCGGATGCAGCCATGTGTGCGTTTGTGGGAGGAGGGTCGAACAAGGAGCCGTCGATCAATCAGATCTTCTGTGGATTTAGCGAAAGTCCCGGTTGGGGCAGTGGACGCCTCCAAGGGGCCCGCATTGACGGCTGCGCGGGAGAGAGAGGGGGAAAAGAAACAAGATGGGTAATGGGTTGGTGTTGATCATATAGGCATTATACGATCTGGGGGAGGGAGCGAGTGTTTCTGCGACGCCGTGGATGGATATTAGGAAGAGGCGGCAAGGGGTGGAGACGGGCCCCATTGATCGTGGATGCAATGGGATCGATTGATCATTCATGGACGAACCATCCCCCTCCCCTAATACCCCCACTCGTCTTTGGGCCGACAATATCGACCATGCTTCTCAGCGTCAGCAGCAGATCATGCTCCCCGAGTCTGTGTGCCTGCCGTGATGGGCTGGGTAATCATACGGGGACAGTCATGGGCGTTCACGTCGGCACATCGCGGACGGCGCAGCGCCGATCTTTCGAAGAGGGAAAGAAAAAGAAGTGCGTGTGTGTGTGTGTGTGTGTGTGTAGGAGGGGGAATGCCCTCCCTTGAAGAGGGCAGCGCTTCACTTGTGCGGTGCAGTCGACCTTTTGGCGGGAGACAGGGCGCGGCTTTCGAGATGTATCCACACGGACACGGGGCGTTTGAAGGACCCCGTTTGATATAACGTAGGCCCGAGATTACTTTCCTCTCAAGTCATTTGACCTTGAATTCAATGTTGATAGTTGGCATTCGACTATTGGGCCCTGAAATGGGCAGACCGTGCCTGTTTTGTCTCTTGTGGCTCACACAAACCAGTCATGTACCCGTGTGATATTGGATTGGGTTGTTGTTATACACCCACCCACCTGTGCGCACTGCGGTTTCCTGAGGTAAAGCCGATGCTACATTCGAGTCTCTAGATATGAAGTAGATATGGATCCAGTTGTGGTATTATTATTTCCTTGTCAAGAATGCCTATTTACCTCCATAATCCGTGCTTAATAGCCTGGCGGGGGCCTGCCTTTCAAGCCATCCCCGACCCCGTTATCCGCACACAATTTTGCAAACCTTGAGATGATTTGGGATACCGTACCGTAGCTCCCGAGCGTTCAAGCGGGCTTTTCGGAAACTGTGGAAGCGAGGAGGAGTGTAGCTCCGTTGATCAGCTGGCGTGTTTGGTGGACTGGGGTAAATCATCCCTGGATCTTGCCCGTTCAAGCAGACTCCACTAACTACACTAGGTATGTGTCAAGTAACCCATTATTTGGAACCCACTTTGCTTCTTGAGGGCATCAGTGCCCCTTGCCTTGGATGAGGGACGCTATTGGCGTTGGTCCATTGATGCTCTCTGGCTGCTAGTTCCTTGTCCATACCGTCTGTAATGGCCTCAAACATGATCCACAGCCCCGTGCTTCGCTGCCAATGTGGGTCTCTAAGAGAGGGGGACGAAGCTCAAGAAGAGCTCCTCATTGTCGGCTTTGGTGCTGGAAGAATACCCGAGGAAGTGGTTAGATCTGATCAAAGCATGGGGCATGGGCGAGAAGAGCAGCCTGACACCACCCGCCCGTAATCCGAATTTATCTTGGAAGGGAGGCCATGCCAGAGACAAGGGCTCTGGGGTGACATGGACCACACACTCGACGCCGGCAATCCTTTTGGCGAGGAGCGGGCTTGGTGGTTCTGTTTCTAGAGAAGCGAGCTTTCGACTGGCAGGCGAAGGTCGATAGTGACTCTCGTAGATACAAGCCATGATCTTGCGTCTTGCTTTCTCTTTTCTTTTCTTCTTCCTTAGGCAACTGAACGAGTGCCTGGTAGGGGCGTCAAGTTTTGTCATCGAGCAGTGGAAGGGGAAAGACCATGAAACGCAGAATCAAGCATCCAAGGGCTAGCATTGATTGATACATCCTCATCACCTCTAGGGCATTAAGATTCACCTGTCCTGGGCACGCTCTTCGCCTGAACCCCAAGGCAGACCGGGCATTTGGCGGATCTATTAGTGTCCAAGAGCTGCAGGGTGCCTGGCGATTGGAGATCTTCATGCTCAGTTGCCCTGGATCAATAGCTCTGGACAGCTTCAGATGGCATCCTCGAAAGACTTGTTCCGGTCACTCAAGTTCGTATTGTTTTCGTCTTCCTCATGTTGTGTTCCTGCAAAAACTGTGTGGGGAGGGAGGGAAGGTTTGCCCCACACACATTTCTATTCCTTATCTTTGGAGGAAGCGTGCGCCTGTCAAAATGCCCTGGTTTGAATACTCGTGCCACGAGTATAAAATTTCATGTCACGACTGGAAGTAATATTCATCAATCTCTGTTCAATCATGCTTGCCCCTGCCGCCGCCTGGACTTGGGGGACCGAGTCAGCTTCGCCCCTCCCTAAGAACACTTGTTGTCCCAGATATTTTTCTGCTCCACATTACTTCTTCCTTTCCCTTTCGTCTTTTCCTCTGTCTCTACGGTATTTGCCTATAGGTTGTTGCTAGCATCTCTCGTACCGTTTACTCCCCTTTTCACGTTTGCTCTCGAGGGCGTCAGCTGCCGCGAGGTGCTCGGTTGAGGACCCTCGGGGGTAACCACATTGTATGCACAGATTTTGAAGGGGATTCGGGTCATGCGACGCAAGGATGATCAGGCGAGATACGGTTTTGGCCTTTTTTGCTTCTGGTTCGAGGGCCCGACATGTACATTGGATGGGTTGACTCAGCCCATTTGGTGGAGGCAGGCTGCAGAGGCAGAGGTAACGGGCTTAGCTGGGAATGAGGGCGGTGTTCCGGTGCCTCCGGTAGTTGCTCCCTCAGGCGGGGGCGGGGGGACTATTCCAATTTTGACGAATGAAAGAACCTTGCCAGCAAGAGCCTTCTCAGGCGAAGAATGAGGCTCTTCCTGTCTACGACCCTCCAAAGTTGAGTACAGGGACGGCAAGATCCGGCCGGTTTCTCTCGCTTTCTTTTCCGTTCTGCCTTTTACTCCATGTTTTTCTTTCTCTCTTTTTTTTTTTTTTTTTTTTTTGGGTGGAGAGTGCTTATCTCCCGTATTCTCTTGATTATATCGTTGACTCTTCTCATCATTCGCTTTGATTCGGATGGCTTCCCTCGAACCTCCAGTCTTGTCTGCATTTTAGTCTTCGGCTCACACCAGCGTCTTTGTTGCCCGTGATAAGACACCAACCCCCGTTCTCTGCATGGGATAGCCGTCTGTTGAGTTGAGGATACATGTACATAATAATGTAGACACTTGGAGTATCGGTGCCTTGACTTGCCCCGGCCGCTGAAAACTCGGAAAAAGGTTTCAACCGTTGATTGGCGATCGGATATCACTTCTGATTGATCGAGGGATGGGCGGTCGAAGCCCACGCTTGCCCTTCTCTGGGTGGTCAGGTTAATGAACGTGCAGCGGAAGCAGGACGCGCACAAGCAAGGATGCCAGCTTGGATTGGGGTTTTGCAAGCCTTTTTCCCGCTTAGGATTCGTCCAGGGACGCAACCAATCGCGCCGAGTTCACTGCGCGTAAATTGTAAATTCGCCTGAGACGACGGGAGCATCCTCCAAGGTCTGGGCTGATCATATTTGATTTTTATTCCCTATTTCCTCTTTCACGCACCTTGCTCCAACGAGCCAGGTTGGATGGGGAAATACCAAGAGAAACTTGGCCAACGCCCACCGAGCGCAGGAGCTATTACGAATTTCCTGACAAGGTTCAGCATTCAAGTTGTCTCTTCACTTGGAGGCGTGGCTGGGAGGTACCTCGGATTTGATGGGCGCCTACTGGTCACGTAATAACTCTGGGCTGAGCCCAATCTGCCTCTTGAGTCCCCGATGATCTCGTAGTGCGAGGCATCAATCCTATTATACCTATCAAGCCAAACTTCGCCGTGCCTAGACAGTCTCAAAATCCCAGATGGTTCTGCTTGGGGAGATTGAACCCGTACATGTGTTTGAGAGGGAGGACTTATCTCGCACCCAAAAGGAGGATTGTATTTGTCTGAATGACCCAGCGCCGAACCTGGCACGCTAACCTGGAGAGCGTACCACGATTACGTGTAGCACCTGTTCCTTTGTAAATTAACCTCCCAGCACTGCCTCAGTGGAGCTCCGAGGAAGGTCGTACATTGGTCTTATTACTTGGCTTGGGGTATTAGTGACAGAATCACCCGAAGTTCCAATTGAGCACCACATCGCACCCTCAGGTACCACCCCGTCTTAGGTGCATTACGAGGTACATTAGTTCTGTGGTTGCTCCTTGTCAGCACGTGTCTGGGACGGTGGGAGAAGTTGTCGTCCATGGTCCGGTTGTGATGGTAGCTGGAGAGGCGCCTTCGGTGTGGTACTAGGCCCTGATGAGGTATCGTCGGTGATGGGAAAGGTACTTTGAACTGGGCTCCTCTCTCAAAGAGGCCGAAGTACTGAAATTTCTTCCTGTACTTTTATTTTTTTCTTTATTATTTTATCGCTGGCTTTTGTTACTCTTGTGTTCAACGGTGCTATTATCAAAAACCTCCAGCTATGTAGTTTGCACCTCTGAAGACAAACGGGGATTTGGAGGGCTCGGTCTCCCTCTTACTGCTCAAAGAGTCTTTTGGCCGTCCCCGTCCCCCGTCCCCGTCCCCGTCCCGAGATGAGCTATGGTGACCTACTTTCAATTCGGGTGCCTCAATGTATCAGAAGCTGTAATTGGTATGTGTAGGCTGTCGTTCTCTCTCCTCGAGACTTGTACGACAACTGATTGATCTATCCATGGATGGATGTGTCGAGTACTGAATGCCTGTCCCACCCCGTCCAAGGTGTTCAATAACTGGGTCCGCCAACCGACAGTCGAGCGGACCCATTGCCAATCGGGATTGCGTGCATGGCTGCTAAACCTAACCACGGCTTTCCTCTATTACCGTGCTGCTTCGACAAGTACTGTCTTTCCTGACTAACCATCCCTTCCTTGACCACTATCCTTTCCCATCCTTCCCTTTTCACCACCTCTCAACCAACTTCTGCTCTCGTGTCGAGGTCAGAAACCACCCAAAATCAGTTGATCATTCACGACCTCCCTCCCTTTCCCTCAACCCCTTTTCTCTTCTTGATCTATTCGTCCCTCCTTCGACTATTCCCCCCTTCTTTTCGGTCTTCTTTTTCTTCCTTGGGCCGGATCATTTGATACCCTTTCCTTCCTTCCTTGTCGTTCCGTCTTTGGTCTAGTCCGAGCCTTCCCCGCCGATAACCCCAAGGTCTCCCCATTTTCGAGCCCTTTCAAGTTCCACCCACCTTCCGTGGCTCCTGCCTGCTTCAATTCATGACATCGCACCACCAAGGCCACACAGCAAAATTTCCGGCATCGGTGTTGTTCAGTTCCTCGCTCCCCTTGTCTTCACGACCACTATGAATAAGTTGTCGAACATGCGTCAATGGTCAGAGCGGATGAGCCCCAACTTCGCCATTGGAGGTCGTCCGAATTTGCCCGTCAACTCGCTCAACCCTCACACCAAGGCAGCGCCTATCTCGCAAGGTCCTCCCATTGCCTCGCCCCAAGGAGATGCGACGATCCACTACTCGTTCAATGTGCCCTTCGCCTCCGACCTAGCTGGCCCGAACACGGAAGATATCCTCCACGCCACCACCGATGCTGTGCTCCGCTGGACTCACCCGGAGGACGCCCCCGATGAGGTCCCCGTACACGAGCTTCCCATCCATTCCCAAAATCTCGCGAACTTGCAGAGGCTATGCAGGGACCTTTCCGCTGGGCCTCTTCCCGTAGAAGCGCAGGTCATTACTACCACGCCCAAGAACGCCAAGGGCCAGGTCACCACTGTCTGCCTCTCTGGTTCCCCGAGCTTGTGCAAAAGAGCCGAGAGACCATTCTCAATGATACACCCATCTCTTTGGTATGTCTTGCTACCACGCACTCCAACGCGCGTTCGTACGCTCTTAGCTGTGAACTAACTTGTGCGTCCCCCAGCGATGCACTCACATCGACATTGACGGCAAACTCGTCTGCGATCTTGTCGCCGGAGTCCTTAAGAAGCCCGTTATCGAAGGTCTCGACACTATCTCGGCTTACTGTGGTGTCGATATCTTTCTTCTAGGACCTAAACTCACTCCGATGGTTGATGGCATGACGGGTGACGCGGAAACCAGAGTTGATCAGCGATGGAGAATTGCCATCTATGGAGACGTTCTTGCCGCCGAACACGCCAAAGCCCGTGTTTTGATCCAGATCGACCGTCTCGTATGCTTTGCCTCTTCGCTCCTCTCCCCCAATCCTAGCCGAGTCGGGCAATGTCCTAGGCAAAGATGCGACCCCTGCTAACTGCATCGTGTTTCTAGCTTGGTCGCGTGGTTGACGCCGTCCCGTTGGAACTGGCGGCGCATCAAATCATCTGTGGACGGCATCGGAAGAATATCAAGCTCATTGAATCAGCGACCGGAACCGCCATCTATTTCCCCCTCCGTTCTCTCAGATGTACCGCTACTGCCCGCCGAGTGCTCGCCGCCGAGATCCGAATGAAATCTTCATCACCGGCGAAAGCCAGCAAGCCATTGATATGGCCAAGCAAAGGCTCCATGACGCCGCCCTTCGAGTTCGAGTCTTCGTTAAGGATGTGCAAATAGCCCCGGCCAAGATTGATAGCATTCTTCTCACTCGCCTGGACAAGGTTCGAAGATCATGGAGGCGAACGCGGCTTACATCATGTTTCCCCGCTGGCTAGCCAGCGCAATATGGTCCGGGTTCAGGGTCTCGATGTGCTGCATGTCGAGCGGGCGATCCGGGAAATTATGGCCCTGGTAAGAATCTGGTTTAGAATTCATCTTGTGGTGCAATCGCCCCGTTGTAGAGCTGGATTAACATGCTTCTCTAGGCCGGTCAGTTCTACAGTGCATCGTGGCTCATTCAACACCCCGATCCCCGCCAGCAGCTTCCCACCCCCGCTGAAATTCGAGCCATTCTCGGAGACGTTTGCGCCAACTCCGATGCCGAGATCTCTTTCGATAAGCATAGCTTCAACCTGACTGGCTCCGACGATGCTGTGAAGGCAGCCCTATCCGTCATGTCTGAGATCAAGTTCATCGTCCAGTCTCAGTATCAAATTCGTGTCAAGATCGAGCTGGCCAGCGAGCATAAGGAGTTTGTTAGCGGCAAGAAGAACGGCAAGATCAATAAAATCATGGGCTCTAGTATGAACTCTCCTGATGGAAATCCAGGCGCAGTTTAGGGCTAGATTCGCTAACACATTGTGCAGGCAACGTCCAAATCATTTTTGATGGCTTCAACGAATACAATTTCAACATCGATGTGATGGCCGTGAACTACGAATTCATGAAGCGGGGCCTTAGCATGGTTGAACAGGAAATGCCTGCCTCCATCTCCTTCCACGTGCCAGATCAATATCACAAGCGTATCATCGGCATCGGCGGCCAACACATCCAAAGAATCATGAAAAAGCACTCCGTCTTTGTCAAGTTCTCCAACGCCATGGACCGTGGTGGTATGAGCCGCGAGGATGACGATATCAAGGTCGATAACGTCATCTGCCGCACCCCAGCCCGTAACGCGCAGAATCTGGACGCCGTCAAGAACGAGATCCTAGAAATGGTTGATCGCGCTGTAAGTGTCCAGGCCTCCTTAGGCTGGGCAACGCCGCCTTGTCGCACAATTGATATATCTGAAAACATACTAATGCTTGGCAGGATTCGGAGTACACATCTCAGACCGTTAATGTTGACAGGCTCTATCATCGTCAGCTCCTCGCTCGTCTAGGTGATATCTCGGATTTGGAATCCAAGTACAATTGCAAGATCCATTTCCCCAGCACCGAAGACGCCAGTGACGAAGTCAAGGTCGATGGGCCGCAGTGGCAGGTGCCCCACTGCGTGGACGAGTTGTTGGTATGTGCCCAGTTCATTCATCTATCCCTCCTTCTCTTCTCGCCTCCATATCCACCTGAAAGACTAGCTAACCTAGGGGCTTTTTTTAATAGGGCATGGTCCCCGATAACCACGAAATGGTCTTGGCTCGTTCCACTGACCTGGTCAAGTTCCTCGAGTCCCCTGACTTTGCCCACGAGCTAGTCCCCAAGTTCAAAACCCAACACGAAGTGGAGGTGACTGTCCATCAGAACCCCGACGAGCGAAGCGAGGATGGCCAGCCGACCATCACGTTGATGTGGAGCTTTACTCGCAACAACGCTGGCGGCCTTCGTGACGCCATTGACTTCTTACAGTCTCAGCTTGCCACTGCCGGTGTAGAGATTAGCGTCGTCAAGGGCTCCATCCTGCGACCCAAGTCTGACTCTTTCGAGGATTCGCTTCAGTACTTCAACTCGCGACTCCTTCAGCATGCCCCCGCACCCATCAAGACTGACTCCCTGTCAAGCCCGCGTTCGGAGACGAAGTGGCGCGGGAGAGAAGCACTATCTTTGATCGCCTTCGCAAGCCTGGCAGCATGACTTCCATCTCGTCCTTTCTCGACCGCAGGAAGAACAGTTCGACATCGGCTGCTAACTTTTTCAAGGGCTCGACCAATGTTTCCAAGTCGTCTCTCATCTCCATCGAATCGGCCCGGAGCTTCAATGCTGATCGGAACCCATGGAACGACAGCGGCGTAAATCTTCCCGAGGAAGATCACAACATCTGGGGACCCCCAGCAGATTGGCACAAACGGCAGCTCTAAGCTTATGCCACACATGCCGCATCCTGGCGATGCCACCCCACGACATGGCACTCGCGCGTCCGGCGATAGCGGACGCCCTTCTACTTCTCATTCAACCAATTCAGGATACCCCGGCCCCATTGGGCCATTCCGTTAGATTCTCATTCTTAGAACTGCAAAATACCCCGGCTGGATATACCCTATACCCTGGCGAACAATAAATACCCAGAGATTCCATCTCGTGCATCGGTCGGCATCTCGCTTTATGTTTTCGTGCTCGCAGTGCTCTTGTCTGTCTTGTCTCTTTTCTTTTTTCCTTTCCCTCCCCTGTTTCATTCGTTATTGCGGGGATGTCCTCGTTCTTTGTTCTCATGTTTTGAAATTTTCGGTCTTACGATTGCCGTGCTTTGCCTCTCATGTCTTCACGTCGATCTCAGTTCGCGGGCCATATCGCGGAAATTTGCTAGCAGCAGTCGGCTTTCGGCAGCCCTTTGATTCATGTTTTCCTTGTGCGGTCTCGAAACGTCATACGTCCTCGACCCCAGTTCTTGTTCGTTTTATGCGCTACGACATGTCGAGATACACGTCCTTTCATTATGCCGAATACCCGAACGCTGCGTCGTTTCAACAAATTATTAAAAAAAGTTTGGCTTTATGCGTTTGCGTTGGTCAGAGGGGAGAGAAACGAACCCACAGCAACCGAATACCCGCCGGCTTGATAGTTCAATACCCATCGATCTATGAATGGTTGCAGTTCAAGGGTCGTAAATGTCAAGCACCCTTGGGGACTCTACGCCCCAAGGACTCTGTTCTCTTTATCGCCTAGCTGGCTTGATTTGTCCATTTTCTTTTCGATTTTTCCCTCTTTGCTTCTTCTTGTTTCCATTCCCCTCCTTTCGTTCTCTTTTTTCCAGCCCGCCATCCAATTCGCTCGTACAAACCTGTGTTTGAAGTTCAAGTACCCAAGCCAAAAGTTGTGTTATCGAGAAGTTGGTTCCGTGTACAGGGCGGAGGTTGGACTCCGCGTTACACTGAGTACGCACAAGGTATGCGGAACGACTACGTTATGGTTTTTTTCCCCTTTTTTGCGCATGGTTTTGAAATCTGAGCGAACACGCCGTAAAAGGGCGATGTTGGTACGACAACTTGGACACAGAGCCCTCGCCCGCCTTTCTAGGTTGTCAACAGTGCTCTGCATCTATCACTGTCCGTCACTCGGCGCAGTATTTGTTTCTCTAGACCCGGTCTAGAGGGACGTGGCAAACATCCCCGCCACGCTCTCAGCCATCCTGATACCCGGGGTGCCTCAAATCCTCCTCTATTCTAGGTCCCCTTTTGCGGAGGCCCTTGGAGAGAGAGGGACGTGGCTTGTCTTAGTCTGAATCAAAAATGTGATACCCAATAAACCTATACCCACATATCGCAGTTTTCTAAAGTTGATGGTATATTTTGTGATTATCCTAGAGGTAGGTTTTGCATGAAGCGTAGATGCCACCTAAGCGTTCTGTCGTCGCAAGTAAGTAGACGTAGATCTATGTACCAAGAGAGAAGGAGGAGTGGGCTGGAAATAAGGCGGCCCGCGCAAAGGAATAATACAAAAAAAAACTGTCTAATATCGTACAGGCCCGACGGAAACCTGCTCTCTCCGCCTCCTCTCCAGCACGCCTTCGGCTTCTTTGGCCTCCCTCTCCCTCTTCCGCCTCTGGGCACCAAGGGCGGCGAAACGGCCTCTCGCACCGTGCTTCACCTTTGTGATCATGTCCATGGCGGCGCCTTTCGTAAGGTCGTCAACGGTGAGAGGTTCGACGCCGTCGCGGCCGCGCAACTTGTTGAGGAAGTCGACTTGGCCCTGGGTGGGGGTCCGGAGCGCCAGCGCTGACGGCGAGAGACAAAGGTATGAGGAAAGGACGACGGGTTGGAGGCGGCGTAATTGTCGCAGCCGTGGAGCGCGTCGGGGAGGGAAGAGGCGGATAAGAGTTCGCGAGGGGCAGCGTAAGGGGATTTGGACACGGCTGGGGGCAGGGCGCGGACTTCTACGGCGCGGAATAGCGGGGTGGGCGCGGGGAGGGCGCTGCGGGGGAGGGCGCTGCGAGGGAGGATGGAGGCGCCTGGATGCGCTCGACGCGAAGGTAGGTGCCGTTGGGGGCGGTGAGAACGTAGCGGTCCGGGGCAACCTGGACCCAGGCGTTGGGGCTAAGGGTCCGGATATGCTTCTCGCCGGAGGTGTCCGCTATCAAATCGAGAACGGAGGAATACTGGGTAAAGGTGACCTTGGTATTTGGGTCCAATGCTGAGCCCTCTGGCGTGGAGTCAGGAAAGGCGCTATCGAGTAGGGTATTGGGGCGGTCTCGCATGGACGCCAGCTCTTTGTCGAGGCTTTCTCGACGAGCTCACCGGGGTCAAGGCCAAACAAGGTCGGAGTAGTGACGATGCCCGTCTCCAGGCTAGAGACCATGTCGATGACATGGCAGTCCTTCTTGTCTGGGTAGAGACGCATACCGCGGCCAATCATTTGGACGAGAAGGTTTCGGGATTTGGTTGGGCGGGCGAGGACGACGCAGTCTACGTTGGGTATATCTGTGCCCTCGGTGAAGACACCGCAGTTTACGAGGACGGGAAATTTCCGGGCCTTGAAGCCATCTAGGATTCTGGAGCGGTCCGTAGTGGGGTCTCGCCAGAGATGAAACGCGCGTCGAGGCCATGCTGGCGAAACTTTTGGGTGAGGCTAGCGACGTGGGCAAGGTCGACGCAGAAGACAAGCGTTGACTTCCTGTCCTGAGCGTGCGCCAGCCAGCTTCGGACCGTAACCTCGTTGACGTGGTCAGTGTTTACCGCACGAGAGAGGTCGCCGGGCTTGAAGTCGCCGCTCGCGCCGCTCCTCACGGCCGAGATGTCGGCTTTGGATTCCACGGTCGTGAAGATGACATCGCAAAGCCACTTCTCGGTAATCATATCGACGTAGTCGCGGTGGTAGACGATTTCATCAATAGCGGCCCCTAGTCGCAGACCGTCAAACCTCGAAAAGGTGGCAGAGACCCCGACCAGGGCAGGGGACGCAGCCCTCTTCTTTCGAGGCCAAAGTGCTCCAGAGTGCGCAGGTAGCCCGGAGCAACAACGTGGTGGGCCTCGTCTACGAGAAGGAGCTTGAAGCGGGATGGGTCAAACTTGTCCAAGCGGTCGCGCGAGGTGATGCTCTGGACGCTGGCGATGGTGATGTCTGCGTGGCCCGAGGCGTGCATGTTGCCCATCTCGATCTCGACGCGCATGTCCGGGTAGGCGGCGGCGCAGTGCTTGGCGGCCTGCTCAACTAACTCACGCCGGTGGGCGAGGACGAGGGTCTGCGTAGCCTCGGGCGAAGGCGGCGGCACGCGGGAGATGAGCTGGGTGAATATCACGGTTTTGCCGCTGCCGGTGGCGAGGGAGATCCCGAGGCGTTTGTGGCCCTGAGAAAGGGAGGCTAGGACGGAGGAGATGCATTCTTCCTGGTAGTTTCGAAGCTTGATTTTGGGGGATGACAAGAATAGAGGGGTGCAGTGAAAGGACTTGAGATGGGGCCCACGGTAGCCTGGGGCGAAAGGGCGAAAGCTCCGGCTCATGGGCCGGACTTGGTGCGGGATGAGCGTTCTGAGCATTGCGACATGTTTGGAGGGCACATCGAATCCAATTCAAGGCTCTTCGGTGACACGGATTGTTAAGACATGGCTCATGGGTTGGAGGCTATTATAAACGTAGATAATGGAAAGATGTAGTATCAGGATAAACAATGGGGGACTAAGGTGAAGTCGGTGGTTGTGGATATAAATCGTGATGCCTGACACAACCTTGAGCTTTGAAACTCTGGATTCAATTTCATTGGAATTTCATCCAGTGACAATGACGCTTGAAAATTTCGGGAGGTGCCACCCAGTCCTGGAGCCACCCCTAAATTTTGGTTACTGGTGGCTTGAGATTCATTTGCATAGTGGGCACCACCAACTCACTTCTGGAAATCTCAAAATACCACTGTGGGGTGTATCAATCCTAGGCCTCTCATCTTGCTTCCAAGCCAGAAAAAAAAATCACGACTGATCACTTGATCCATCCGATGACAGGGTTACACCTACCACCAGCAAACCAGTCAAGGGAAAAGCTCACCAGCAACGTTTGAAATCTTGAATCATTCATGGCTCCTCAGCCCATGTTGGAGTTCGCTCGAGGAAAGACCAACAAACTCACCGTCCTTGGTATCACTTGACCCAGTGACCCAGTCCATAGGCACTATCTGAGCCTCCTCCCCATGTGTTTGAGCTTGCTTCTCGCCTCAACCAGGCCTCCCCACCCATACTCGCTTCCTTCCCCTTTTCGATAAAAGCTGCGTTTAAGTCCAGTATCTGCTATAATCTCTTCCTGTGCTGGCTCGTGCCCGTGTTGGCTCTTATATTGTGGCCATTGACGCCCATCTCCGAATAACCCCCTCCCCCTTCCCCCTCCCCCAACCACCAGCCCTACTTTTCCTCTTTTTCTAGCAATGAGTTTATGGCCTGAGGACTCCGAGGACGAGTACATCCCTCAGCCTGGATCTGAGTCGGACGGAAGCGAGCTCTCTGAATCGGCAGTCAAAAAGAGGCGCCGATACCAACCATAGAACATGATGCTGAGGACCCCGAGGAATGGAATTCACTAACAGAGGCGCGACACCTGCTGGCCGAGTCCTCCGAGCCCGAAGCAGCGCCTAAAATCTTGAGACGGAAACGAAGTCTGGGGACTGCCGCACTTGACATTCCCCATGGCCGCTTGCCATACAAACGCGTTCCCGGCATCTTCAACCTGGAGTATCTCGGGCTGCTAAACGAGGATATCGACGATGCCAAGGAAAACATCATTGCCCAGCCAGATCCCACAAAGCTTCTCGCTACCCAGATTGGCATGGTGACATGGTCGGCCACGGAGAAACAGCTGTTCTTCGAAGGTGTCGGAAGGCTTGGGAAGGAGAACCTCCCAGGAATAGCTGCCCGGATTCAGACCAAGAGTATCCTAGAAGTTGCGCAATATATCCAGCTTCTCGAGAAGGAAGTCCAGGCCAATCTAGCACGGCCCCGCGACACCATCATCACGGCCGACATACCTGCGGCTATGGAAATCAGCCCCCAATGCTGCTTAGCTCTAGATGCCATGGCCGACGAAATGTCCTTGCGGCAGCAAAGATATGAGGAAAAGCAGGAACAGCAAAAGTGGGAAGAGTTCCCCTGGGTGGTTTCTCAAAGCGTTGCTTCTGAAATGGAAGAGAACCCGGATGCGTATGGCGAACCTTTTACAAAGTTATTCCACCTCCCTACGTGGTTGAGCCTATCCGACCAGGTGTTTATGAATGCGTCCTTTCCCGAGAGCAACTGGCTCTTTGTCGACGAGGAACCGCCTTCCGTGAGGAGCACGGCTTTCCAAGACTTTTACAACCTAACGATATCACTGACCCGGCGAATCGCAAGCGCCGCGTTATTCTTCGCCGAGTCAAGAGTTAAGGCGAAGGCTCCGGGGAGCGCCGATTGCAGGATCTCGTCAAGACAAGGGACGTTTTGGCAGCCGTGGACTCGCTCGGCCTCTCTCGCGATAGCAGCCAGTTTTGGGCTAATTGCCCAAGGAGGTTGAAATTAGACGTATTTGACGACGAGGGGTTGTATGACTATAGCGATGAACAGTCCGGCGCCGAAGATGGTGCTGACGGCCCGCCTATTCTTTCTTTTGCGGACGCAGAGGAGGCCCTAGGACTGAAGAGTGAGCGACTTAGTGATGCATCAAGTGAGCCCGAGAGTGATGGGGAAGACAGGGCCACCGACTCGGAAAAGCTAGGTGATAAGCACACCGCTGATGATAGCGATGCCGATGAGGAAGATCGGGCGCTACTCGGGGCTGTCGAAGAGAGCTTGAGCACCGAGATCGGGGCAGGTGACAAAGACCTCCAAGTGCAGCTCGATGCCCGCGAGCTCCTTATCCACACCGCCCTCGATATTCCATCGAGCACACGCACGGTTGAGGCCGTGAAGCGTCGCATATTGGTTGAAATGAACCACGAGGCATACGCCGATGCCTGCGATGAGGTGGCGAGCGCAAATGAGGAGCTAAAGCTCTGGGAGATCTTGAGGCTTGAACCCCCGGCCGGCCTCGCCGCCCGCACTCGGGCGGTGGAGCCGATCAAGAGAGAGATGACCTTTACGGATGCCTACCTGAATAGGGATGAATGGAGGAAGAGCATCAAATACGTAAGCGATTGGGAGGCGAACGCTGCCGACGCCAACCGCAGCGCGTGATTTGTCAAGGTTGTAATACCCCATCTGCTTTACATCGGACTTTGGTTCGGTCTCATGTATCGATATCCTTGCTTGCTGAGAACATGAAGTTGCAACCACTATTGGAGGGGTCATGGTAACCCACTATTGGTTGCAGGGAACAAAAAAAAGAATGGTTAGGACAAGTGATGACGAAGATGAAAGGGAAACCGCACTTCCTGTCGTGGATCGGAAGATGCCGGTGCGCATGTTTAACAATATAATACAGTATGCCTACCCTCTCCAGCCCATAACCATGGCTGCTATCCAGCTTCCACCTTTCGAACACCGCGGGTATAATAACTATTGCTTCTGTGACACCAAACGAGTCATAGATCCTCGCCCTACATGAGCAAGATCTTTTTCTTCTTTGTTTCTCCTTTTCTTCCCTTTCGGTCCCTTTGCGTTTCCTAATCGGGTGGGCTCGACTGTGCTATCCACGGCCGCGACCTCTACCCCTCCCTCTTCCGCGAGAGCCCCTCGGCCGCGACCCCGCCCGCCTCGAGTTGACCGGACGGGTGTCGCTTCCTCCGCGCTCTCGTCATCGTCATCATCGTTGGAGCCGCTCTCTTCGTCGTCGTCGTCGTCTTCGGAGCTCTCCTCGACCTCGGATGCTTGTTTCGACATGGACGCCCGTCCACCTCTGCCCCTCGGCCTCCTCGGCCCCTTCCTCTTCCTCTCGCCGTGCGGGCTACCTTGGGTGCGGGTGAGTCCGCCTCTGTGACGTCCTCCGAGTCGTCCACTGTACTTGACCTCCCGGACCTCAGCCTCTCGCTATTGCGCTTTCCTCTCCTTCCGCCCCTGACGGGCTCTCTCTCCTTTTCCTTTTCCTTCTCCTTTTCCTTTTCCTTTTCCTTATCCTTCTCTTTTTCCTTTTCCTTCTCCTTCTTTTCATCCTTGGCTTTGGCCGCAGTGCTGTCCTCCTCGTCATCTTCCTCCTCTTCTTCGTCTTCGTCGTCGTCGTCGCCGCCACCGGCCTCCTCTTCCTTGTCGCTTTCCTGGTCCTCTGTCTCTTCTCCGGCTTCCGCAGCGCTCGACTCGCTCGACGACTCGCTGTCGGAACCACGAAGCACGCGCTCTTCGATGAGCCCGTGGAACTGCCGGCCGAGGGAGAACTCGAGGTACTTGTCCTCGGGCTCGTCGTCAAAGTTTTCGCGCTCGTTGATGGAATCGAGGTTGTAATGCGCCCGCAGGCGCTCCCATATGTTTGGGATGCGCGTGTGCTGGTGGACGTCTGGGTCGAAGCCGTGGTTGCGGAGGTGTTCGGATATCGCAATCATGCGAAAGTGCTTGTGCATACCTGCGATTGAGGGCCAACGGGGTGGAACGCGGCATCATTTAGTTCTCTGTTTCAACTGGCGGGGGTCTGGGGACCAAGGACGGGTAGCTCACCTGCTGGTTTCCAACGAATGACACCCTTGAAGAGGGAAGAAAGCTGGTCGTCCGTCCACATGTCATTGTAAATGTCGATGGTGGGATTCTTGGAGGAAGCGGTAGCTTTGGTTGGCGTCTCCGAAGTCGGTGTGTCAATGTCCATGGCATCGTCGCTTTTTGTCGTGTTGGGCGTGGAGACGGAGTGACTCGCCCCTCCCCGAGCTTTCTTTCGTGGAGGCATCGCTGGCGATTTGGAAGCTCAATCGCAAGGAGACGAGCTACGCTACTGAAGTGTTGTAAAAGCTCCGTGTAGTCCGGGAATTGAACAGGGGTTGGCGCAATTCGGTCCTCTGGGAAGGAGTAAGGTGGTGGGGGAAGGGAAGGTCGGAAGCTTGAGGTTTGTTTCTTTCAGCCTTGTGTTGTGGTGGGTCCGCATTACCATCTCGGAGCTTGAACTTGGACAGGAGCTGTCAGCGGCTGGTTGCACCTGCTGAGATGCAGCCATCACATGCGTGCAGAACGAACGCAGCTTGTGTAACACAGCCCACGTTGTCAGGCGCACCCCATTAAATTCAGAACGATCAATGACCGCACATCCACAATCGAAGCTGATCTCGACGCGACGCGTACTGCAAAGACGCCGCTTTGTCGAATCGACCCTAAACTGACCACCTTCACACTCCACAAATGATATCGCTCAGGACCAAAATTTGCCATTCGCCATGCCTGTCGACGAAGATGCGGCTGACGTCTTTTCCATTCCCGATTTCTGGAGACCGTCGGGCTGGCTACGCCGCGACATATCCGGGAATGAGGGGACCTCGAGCTTCTTTTCCCTCGACCTGAGGGGTGTGTCTCTCCATATCCCCCTCCCTCTCCCCCGCCCCTCCGCCCCTTTCCCTCGCCCCTGAACTCATCTTCCTCCCCAGTTCAACTATGCGATTTCGTTTGCTCACGTTGGGTCTTTTCCACTGCTAATACACCTGATATTTTCGTTTGAAGAGGTTGATGCGCGGGTCAAGTTGGACCCAATAGCTCTAGATGATCAAGGATTTTTCGACAGCCCTCCTTTGGAAACGACTTGGACGAAACGCCAGGCTTGAATGACGAGACCGCAACAGAGGAAGAGGGAGATGAGGATGATCACTTTTACCGACGATTGCGACAGTATTATCGACTACTGGCTTCGAGATGAGCCAGTCCATAGGACGCCGGAGTATAAATCGTGGGATACCTTTGGTATGCAGGAGGCACCGAGACTACAAGGCCTTTATGTTTCGGAAGCGGGTCCGAGAGTCTACGACGCCCTCCTAAGTGCCCCTGGCGACCCTCTGGGGCTGAAAAACGGCCAGCACGTTGTCGTCGACACAAAGACATATTTTTCAGCTCTTATGGCCGTAGCCGTAGGCCGCGAGTCCGTCCTTTCACGTACCGTAGCGCGACCAAGGCGTTCAAGCCTGTGCTCCCTAGAATGAGGATATCGGGATACTCTGCAGAGGTGTTAGAGGGGATCCAGACCATGTCTATAGGCTGCGGCACGGCGTTCCGCAGGTTGCGGAAGCTCGTGGACTCGACGTACGTTAAACACCCGAGCGCCGTCCGCGTCGCTCTCGCAAGCGCCGTCAACACCGCCCTGGGAGTGATCGAGACCACAATTGCCGTCGAGGGCCCGCGAGCGCGGTCCCTCCTGCAGCTGCAGGTCAAGATACGCGGCATCTCTCTAATCCTTGCCGAGTTCGACGCCCTTGTCGGGAATCTCAAGTCTCGCCACGCCGATGATGTCGTGCTCGCCCAGGTGTTCCGGCGCGCCAGGGCAGCCGAGCACAAGGACGTGTACGTCCGGGACACGATGCGCGAGGTTCTGCAAAGGGTGGCGCGGCCGTGGCTTGACTTCATGGAGGAATGGTCTGGTATACGGCCCGAGTCAGGAATCGCGCTGAGCAAGGGCGATGTGGGAAGGCAAAAGTTCTTCGTCAGGGTGGCTCCGGAGGTGTATATTGACGATTTCGGACAAGAGGTGGAGGAGGTCGACTATCGACTCGACCGAGAGGCGGTGCCGGAGTTTTTGCCCGAGGATCTTGTGGATGCGCTCTTTGAGGTGGGGAAAAATATTCGATTCATCCGAGCAGGCCATCCGGAGCACCCACTCGCCCAGCAAGATACTATTACCTCGAGCGACCCGCCCCGGAATAACTGGTTGTACAACTGGGACGCGATATTATCTCTCGAACAGAGGGTTTCAGATTACGAACAGGCTCTGTCGGCCACCATCTCGAGGGCGAGGGCGGAAAATGGCCATTGTACAGCTCACACGATAGACCTGGGGGCCACGCCCGCCCAACCATACGATCTTCAGGTATTTGGGGCTGATCCTTCCCAAATCGAGCACCTCATCCTCTCTTCTATACGGGAATTAGACCAACCACTAGCCGAGACTGGCGAGCCGGATAGCCTCCAGGGTATCATCAGCAAACGGCTCTCCGACGATCATCATACTGTCCGATATGAGGACCATGGTTTGGACTTGAGCCCACACTGGTCTCTACTACCGTCGCTATCTTTTGGGCCGATTGTGGCGGCCCAGGGCCGCATCATCAACCGCGAAAGTCTGCGGCTTTTATTCACGACGCACAATCTCCGACGCCACCTGCGTGCGCAAAGGCAGTTTCAGTTGTTCGGCAACGGAATGTTTTGTAGCCGCCTTTCCCACGCCCTATTCGACCCAGATATGGAAACGGCGGAGCGGCAAACCGGCGTCGCCCGGGAAGGGGAGTGATGGGCCTGCGCCTGAGCGGCCGAGACAACTGGCCTCCCGCTAGCTCAGAATTGCGGCTGGCTCTTATGGGTATCTTGGCCGAGACTTACATCCCAGAGCCAGGGGACGCGCCGGGCGGCCAGGCCGGTTTGGTGGGTCCTCTTGAGCTACCTGGGGATATGAGTTTCTCTGTACGAGACATGGCGCCCGAGGATGTGGACCGGTGCTTGGATCAAGACGCGATCGAGGCGTTGGACTTTCTCAGGCTGTCCTACAAGGCTCCGGCGGCCCTCGCGTCCATCTTCACGCCGATGATATTGATGCATTACGATCGTATTTTCAAGCTTATGCTCCGGGTGCTCCGGGTGCTGTATGTGATTGGCCAACTCTTTCAGGATATCAACTCGAGGAGGTGTCGCTGGTATAACCCGAGCCACGCCGCGGTGCGGTTCTGCTTCGAGGCGCGGACTTTTGTCCAGGGTGTGAGCAGCTACTTTGTGGACGTGGGCATCTCGCAGCCATGGCAGGTGTTTGAGCTCTGGCTCGACAAAGTCGAGCGGGGCGTAGACGGAGCGGACGGGGAGACGTGTGGTACGCCCTTAAGCCCGGACCGCCTCAGGGCGTGCCACTCCTCATTCTAGATCACATCATGCACGCTCTTCTTCTCAGAAAGCGGCAGCAGCCGGTGCTGAAGCTCTTGGACGAGATTTTTACGTGCATACTGCAATTTGCTAAACGGGTCAGGACGGCACCCAATGCGACAGGCCAGGGCGAGGACGAGGATCAAGGCCAGGCCCACGAAATGGGACCGGAGGTACGGGATTTGTACCGGTCGTTTAGGAACAAAGTAGAAGTGTTTATCACGGTTTGCCGTGGCCTTGCTGAAAAGGGCGACTCAAGCCTGAAAAAGGAAGCTGTCGAGATATTGGATGACGTCAGGGTACGCTGGGGAGGCGGCTACAGGACAACAGTAACATCGGTTACTTGCTGATGAAGTTGGACATGTTCAATTATTATTGGAGGAACACCTCTTCCTAGTGGTGGGGTTTGGAGCTGGGGAATATCCTCTGCCGCATTACGAGGTTAGGTATCAAATGTAAGGCAATAAAGGTCGATTCTTCAATCTCTCTTGCTAGTTGTTAGTGAACCGGAATTCACTGTCGGTGGAATAGTCGATGAGTAAGTTTACGAGGCAAGCCGCCAACCGGGTGGTCTTTGGTTCACAGGTTGGTTAGGTAGATCCATTGTTACATGCAGCTTATAGAGTTGCTCTATGGACATAGAAAATCCTATAAAGATGACGAACGTGGATTGCTTGCCTGTTTGCAAGCAGTCTGGATAATCCAAGTTCATGTATAGTATAGCACTATAATATGCAATGTAAGGTCTGAAAGTTTATATCTTTGTAAGTTCCAATTCTACCTGTTTCCTCACCTTTTTTATTGCTGTGTCCCACCCATCCCATAACTAAACAACTGTTTCTCTAACAGCCAGCTGGTAGCCTAGCAAAAATATAACGCGCCGAACGTCGTTTGACGACATAGTTTAACGCTCGGTCATATCTCATTGCGTTCTAAAATTCTAATTGACCCATTTGAGCTCAAACTAAACGTTTACTTCTACACTTCCATCCTGCAGGTCGGGAATGCTGAGCGTAGTGGATGTCTTCCAGGATCAATCACCCCAGTTTGATTCCCATTGCCGCCCTCATATTTTTGGGACAGCTAGGTTCGCACAACATCCACCTGGGCTGAGCTTCGAGTGGGGGGCGAGATGGATTGTTTTCCCCTGATCGGCTGGCTGATGATGGTAATGGAGATAGCGTGCCTTTAGTGAGGGAAGCTGTTGGAAGGTACGATGTGCATTGACAACAAGGAATCGAATTATGTAGAAGGGGCGGGAGACTTTCCTGGTTGATGACATCACGCATGAAACCCCGCGACTACCTTCCCCAATGTTGGCAATGTTTCTTCGCGGGCTGCACAGGATTTAATACTTCGTACTTGCGAAAGGACCCATCAATTTGATGAGCACTGGTGTTTTAGTCGGTTCCAGTAGAACGGTACTGCGCCAAAGCGCCCACTGGCTGCATGCAGCCAGCACTGCAGAAGAAACGTTGGCGCAGCTGTCCGTGCTGTAGTGCGTGTGCTTGTAGCGTGCGCCTGCTTGGCCTGGCAGTTCTAGGGTGGGTCAGGTCCAATTGACACTGACAGTTGAGCAGACGAGAGCACTTGAGGCACTGGGGTGGGTCAGCGGGCCCGAAGTGACTTAGAAGGAGCTAATTGCTACTGACAGGTTCTCTCACGAACTCCTCTTGCGCCCTAAAAGGAACATTGAAGGGCATTCCATTGAACTTGATGGGCCCACACGGCCTAAGGCCACCCTGAACCAGATTTGAACCCCCACGCGTCAACTGGGAGCCAACCGTCTGCGAATTCAAGGTGGATGGGGGGCCGATGACAAGGGTGTTAATTGTTTAAAATTGTTGATAGTGGTAACCTGGCCCCGTTGCTCCCCACACCCCTGCAACAAAGTTTCTTTTGTTAGTAAACACGTGATGGTAAAGGTACAAACGCGCTCTTCCCCAGGAAGAGCAAAACTTACGTCGACGAGACTTTGTTAAAATGAAAGTCTCAATGCGAACAAGCCCGCCCGTCTCCTATTAATCGCGTCTCGATTTCCCTCTTCTCGTCCGACAACCCCTCCATTCGCGACGACGTCAATCGGCTTCGTTTTCTTTTTTTCTTTTCTTTTTTCTTCCTCCTCGCTTTCTTTATACCGCTTCTCCCTCCTCCTTAGTCTCCCGCCCCACGAAGCTGACGCACCTGCTGCTCCGTCGTACTGCATCGCATAGACACCCCCACTTATTTCTTTTTCCTCGGTGACCTTTGTTGCTTCCTGTTCTCGATCACGGTGAAGCCACCGTTGGAGCCGTGTTTTGTGCTGATTTGTGCTGCCTTGAGAGGTGCTCCTTAAAAGTGTCCCTCTTTGTGGGCAGGGCTTCCGCCGCTCGGCACCGACTGCATGTCGCCTTCCTCATCACACAGGTTTCGAAAATATCAAACTCGCCCACCGCGCCTTCCCTATTAATCAAATCTACGTTGCCGCCGTTGAGAACGAATCTTGGCCTCGAACGTTGACCTTTTCCCCCGCCCAGCATGGCGTCCAACTCTTCCTCTCGTCCCTCGACATCTCGTCGACAGTCTGCTGCAAACACACTTTACTCGGCCCCGTCCTCTGCCACGGGAGCCCACGCCACCGATCTAGCGGAATCTCTTCAAAAACTCACCCTCCTCACCTCTCCCGCCTCTGCAAGGTCCCCAAGGAGTCCCGGCCAGGTGCCCTCTTTTCGGAATCAGTCTTCCAACTCCCTCGCCTCTCCCTCCCCAGCATCAAACCCTAGATTGTCGCCCCGAAGCCCCTCCATGGGCAGGACTTCGAGAGCGTCAACGCCATCGCTTGTCCGAAAGTCTTCCACCTCATCTTTGCGGTCCCCGAGCGTTGGTCCTCGCCAAGGCCAGTCTCTATCTCGGAGGGCCAGCTCAGCCAACCTATCGAGCTCCACGCCTAGATCACCGCTCGCCATGACCGAGCCACCTTTGTTGAGCCGAAGCCGGTACCTACGGCCAACTCTCTCGCCAAGGACTTTTTGCGGCCGACCTCCAGGGGCACCAGGAGAACGAGCATGACCAGGCCGCAGGCGCCCTGGTCATCCTTCACGATTCTTGCTATGGACACCAATTTTCCAGGCCATCGGCTTCTGCCGACGACTTGGCTACCATCGTCGAACGCCCAGAGAGACTAAGGGCGTGCGCTTTGGGCATCGCCGCCGCCTATGTCAAGCTGGGTGGACGCCACGCGGACGGCCAGTATCCCATCCACCCAAAGCTTGACCCCAAGACTATCCCCGACGCGCCGTTTAGAATCCGGCGAGTCACCAGGAAGTTGCCCATTACCTCTCCGGCCGTAGTCGGCGTGCACGGCAAGCCCTGGATGGAGGAGCTTCGTGCCATGTGTCTGACAACGCGGGCTCGATGGGCCAAGAACGAATGCGAAATCCTCCGAGACGATGTGAATCTCAGGCCTGGCCAGCAACCAAAGCCCAAGTTCCATCCCGGAGATCTGTATCTTGCTCCAGAGTCGCTCGACGCGATGGAGGGTGCTCTCGGCGCCGTGTGTGAGGCTGTTGATCAGGTCTTCACCAGCGGGCCCCGCAGGTGCTTTGTCTCTATCCGACCTCCGGGCCACCACTGCTCTGAAGACTTTCCCTCTGGCTTCTGCTGGGTGAACAATGTCCACGTCGGTATCGCGCACGCCATGATGAATCATGGTTTGACCCACGCTGCTATCATCGATTTTGATCTTCACCACGGCGACGGGTCCCAATCGATCGCCTGGAGCCATAACCACCGTAGCAAGTATAACAAGAGGGGCCTCGCCAAGTGGAGGAAAACCTCGATTGGTTATTTTAGTTTGCACGACATTAACTCTTTCCCGTGCGAGTACGGCGATCCCGAAAAGGTGATGAACGCCAGCATCTGCATCGACAACGCACACGGCCAGAACATTTGGAACGTGCATCTTCAGCCATGGTCCACCGAGCCCGAGTTCTGGGAGATTTACAACTCGAGCTATTCCGTGCTCATCGACAAGGCCGCGGCCTACCTGAAAACTCAGACCAGTCTCCTACGCAAGGCCAACATCCCCCAAATCCGCCATTTTCTTTTCGGCAGGATTCGACGCCAGCCAGTGGGAGGGCGGTGGTATGCAGAGGCACTCGGTCCAGGTGCCCACTGACTTTTATGCCCGGATCACCCGAGACGCCGTTGCCCTCGCCATGGACCCCGACACAGCCGCCGAAGGGCGTGTCATCAGTGTCATGGAAGGTGGTTATAGCGACCGCGCGATCGCCTCGGGCGTTCTTAGCCACCTGAGCGGCCTGGTGGCCAGGCCAATAGCCCAGGACGCGTTTTTGTCCGAGAACGGCATCAAAGAGGAAGACGTGGAGTCTGACGGAGGAGTACCAGCAGGGATTGCCCACGACCCTCTTACTCAGAATCGAAAGCGGCGTTTCTCGTCTAACTTTGCCTACGACTCTGCGTGGTGGTCTAGTTCCGAGCTTGACAAGCTGGATCGTGCTATCGCTACCCCGGCGCCGCTTCCCAAAAGCCCCGCCACGCCGTGCCTCCCACGTATAGCTCCCCTACCCACGCCTCGACAGCCAAGGCTCTCGACCCTGCCAACCTACGTCGCAGCCTTTCCGGTTTAAACACGTCGAATGGCATCCCATCTCGCCCGCCAACTCCGCCGCCTCCCGAGGTGCCCTGGCCGATTGCGACGCAGGAGCTTTTCAAGCTCTTGGTTCCAGAAGATCGCCGTACCGTGAGTCTCACGCATGCGGAGATTGGTGAAGTCGCCGCGCAATGCAAGGTGGATTTCCCTGCCCTGCAGAAACCGGTTGGCGGATCGCAACTGGCCCACGGCGCCGCGAGGGTGGTAGGGCGAGATCGAAAGACCAAGCTTGTCGAGCCGATCCGCGAAGAGGAAGGGATGGAGAAACTGGCCAAGGGCCGTAGGAAGACGACCGCTGTCGGTTTTGGTCTCGTAAGTTCCCATCTTCTCCTTTTTTCTTTTTTTTTCTCTCGTCTTCTGCTTTTCCCCTCCTTTTTCGTTTTTCGGTCCCCTTCTCCTCTCTACGTGTATCATCAATGATAATATCCCATTCGTGATGGGGGCCAATTACTGACGAGCTTTTTTCTCATTAGCCGCCTGCGAAGTCGGGAGGGTTAGACCCCCAGTCCGTCGGTCCGCCAGACGAGCTAGCACTGCGTCTGTGCTACTGACGGCAGAAGACGAGTCTGTAATAGAGAATGCTACCAATCCGGCCAGCGATGGCCTCGGCGAAGTGAGCGGTAACGGAAACACAATGGCGCCGCCCGTGACCAAGCCAGCTCCCTCTGTCCAGACAAAGAAGGTGCGGGCGCCCGCATCAACCAAAGAGCCCGTTACTAGGATACCCAAGAGCGGGACAAGAGCCCCGGCGGCGAAAAAGAGCCCAGCAAAGGCGACCAAGGCGGGGCCGCGGTCGGCCAACACATCTCAGGCGGCCACGCCCAAGAGACCGACGCCAGAAAAAGCGGAGATCAAAGTTTCGGGGCCAGGCAATCCACCGGAGAGTACAGACAAGGGATTGGACCAGATAACCTCTGGGCTCAATCAAATTAGAATATCCCTTGTCTCAAAATCTCGCGAGACAGGTGCGCCAGTGGCAGCGAAGCCAATGCCGCGGATCCGGTTCATCAAGAGCGGTCAAAATTCGGGAACCACGTCTCCCGATCCCACGGGGCCAAGCGACGTGTTGCCGTCGGTTCCTGTGAGGAATGAAGGCTACGGCGACGTCACGCCCCCGATCCAGTCTCCCCTGGAGCCCCTCCCTCCCTGATAGTGAGGACCCCCGTGGAGGAAAAGTCGATGAGCGATTCCATCGATTCTCTCGAGCCCTCTTCGTCGTCGCCGCTGCCGTCGAGCCCACCGACGTTTAGTCCCGCGAATAGCTTACCAAAGTTGAGGCCCGAGACACCGGACAAGTTTGTGCAGTATCAGCCAGAAGGCCCGACGCCGGTAGCTATGCCGATGAGCGAGCCGGTCCGATTTTGCCGCCCAATGTGGCCGCGACACCGACGCCTATGAACCGGTCGAACCTACCGGCCTTCACGCCAACGTCGACGCTTCGGTTCGCTCCACCGAGCTACGGTGGCGGAGAGGACAAGCGAGGCTTCCCGGACTTAAGCCTGAGAGTTCCTCAAAGTAGTGATTCGAGCTGGGCGAGCCGGTGGGGGTCTCGGAACAGGTTGTTTTTACACCCTACCCCCAAAACGTTATTTCTAGAGCAAGCCGTGCTATACGCCGCCGGGCCCTTTGTCTTCTTCATCTTTTCGTTCCAGTTGTTGTTCTTGTCCGCTTGCTTCTTCTGCCTTCTTCTTCTTCTTCTTGTTTTCTTCTTCTTTATTTTTACCCCTTGCCTTTAGTTCATCTCTCCATATCCTTCTCTCTATGCGCTTTTCGGCTTTTGTTTTCCTGTTCGGAACCGGAGTTTGGGTTCAGGGACCCTTTGCCCTGTTCTGGTTTGACGATGTGGGTTGCAAAGGTTTCAAGGAGATACCCCTCTTGTGCTTCAAGGAGTAGCTACGATTTCCATGTAATCTTGTTTCTTGTTCTTCTTTTCTTCTTTCTTCTGCCTGCTTCACTACCCGCCACGCTATTCCGTTGCGCGCTATTTGATTCCTCCTTTTTAATTCATGGAAATTTCCCCACGGATAATACATTTCCCTCTTTCCTCAAGTTTGACCTGTTCTCGTGCATATAGGAGAGTGCCGCGACGGCAGGTGCATTATATTATGGCTCTTGGTGCTTTTACTTGTTCTTTTCTATTCATTGCCATGCGTGCATGTGACTGTGTAGAATTCGCCTCTATTCCCACGTTTATAACCCCTCCCTCCCTTGGTTGCGTGCGGGCCTCACGTTTTGCCCGTCTAACTATAGAAACGAAAAAAATGAATAAGGGAAAAAAGCAGAAGTCATGGTACCTCCCCCTATAAAACCACGAATAGCACCTTGTTCGGGTGCAAAACCACACTACCTCGGCGCACGTCAACCCTCATAGCTCACGGCAACCTATTCCCCGTTTAGGCTTTCCCGGAATACCGAAAGGGGGACGCTCTTTTCCTTGAGTTCGGCCTTGGCTCCCACGGGCGCCGCCTCAGAATCGGCAGCGGCGGCAGCGACGCCGGGGTGGGGGCTCCTCTCGAGGGTCCAGACCTCGGTCACGCCGAGGCTCTCGAGGTAGTCGAGGCCGCGGGGGTAGTTTGTAGCGATTTGGGCGATGCCGTGGCTGTCGTCGGAAAAAGTGAAGCGGCCGCCCATCTCGAGATAGGCGCGGGCGACGGGGGCGGCGGGATAGGGCTCGGCGAGGCCCTTGCGCAGGGCGCTGGTGTTGCACTCGAGCCAGGCGCCGGCCTGAACCGCGACGCGGAGGTTACGCAGGATGCGGGACCAGATACCCGGGCGGAGGGAAGGGTCACGGGCGGGGTCGTCGCTCAGGAGGCGGATGAGGTCAAAGTGGCCGACGACGCGGGGCCGGAGGGCGAGGAGCATGTCGTGCTGCTCGTCGTAGTAGCGCTCGTGGAAGAGGTCCTCGGGGTCGCGGGCGGGGTCGGGGTTGGGGTCGGCGGAGGCGAGGGAGGCGACGTACGAGCTGCGGGCGCGGAGGTAGGTGTCGCGGTCGTAGTCGATGGGGAGCCCGCCGACGTGGTGGAGGGAGCCGATGAAGTAGTCGACCTGGGGGTAGACGAGCGGGTCGGCGAGGCTGAGGATGGCGGGGCCGTAGGAAGGGCGGATGAACTCGCCTTCAAAGGCGATGAGGATGTGGATCTGGGAGGCGTACTTGGCTTGTAGGCGGGAAGCCTCGACGAGGTAGGCTTGGTGGAGGGGGAAGGAAGGCGAGGAGACTTCCGGGTCCGTTTTGAGCTAGAGCTCGGGGGGCGGTTTTGTTAGGGGAATTTGGACAATAAGAAAGAAGATATGTGGAAATAGCTGGGTGAGGTAGGGGGAACGCAGAGAGGGATAGGCAATGGGCACTTACTTCCTCTGGATAGAGATCTTCCTTTGCGTAACGAGGCATGTGCTCGGTGAGACCGATGGTCTTGAAGCCGGCGGCGACGGCAAGTTGGATGACCTCCTCGAGGGTGTCTTTCGCGTGGCCGGGGCAGAACTGGCCCGAGTGGGAGTGCATGGTGAAGGCCATTTTCTTCCTTTTTTTTTTTGGTTCCCTGAGGCTTGCGCGGGAAATATAAATCTATATACGGTTTTCCTCGCGCCTGGGGGATCTTGTCAACGAACCCGCTTAGGAAGGGAGCTGTTTCCCCGTCTTTGAAAATGTCACGTCGGTTGGCTTCTTTGCCTTTTGCTGCCGAAACCCGTTTTGTTATCTTTGGCGAGGATTGGTCCTTTTTTCGTCTGGGGAGAAGGGGAGAAGTGGTGTTTGAAGTGGTGCAAAGCTGTCTTGGCCATGAATGAGAATGAGCTTGATATCTGCATTGTATCCTTGGCGGGGTTCCCATCTTCAAATGCCAAAAAAGGAAGGAAAAAAAGAGAAAGGCATTGCGAAGGAGGGGCAACCTCGGCGTGTGTGGTGGGGCAACCCGACTCCGTCAACGACACATAATAGAGTTGATTAACGAGAGATTTAACGATAGATCTAGAGATATAGCTAGACAATTGATTGTTTTGTTAGTGCATAGCATAGCTTGGGCAGCCAAGTCAAACGATTCGAGATGGGTACATGAGGGTCGAATGTTCGCGAGGGGGTTTCCCCAAAGAGACTTGTGCTGGTCCATACAGCGGACAGATCTGTATCCTTGTTGTTCTGGGAAAGCACTGCGTCGACTCGATGCATCTATTCAATCGGAAAAATGGACTCGGTAGCAGAGGAGGCTCAGGTTCGAGTTTAGCCATCCATGGATCCATTGTATGGACGTGTCTGTCTCCTCACTAAACGTATACCCGTGGCTGCCTTTTGCCGCCTTCCGCGCCCCCTGCGCTTGACTCCTGGAGCAGATAGCGAAGCAGTCCGAGTTCACTTCACCTCCTCCTCCTCCCCGCGTTATTGCGTCCAGGGGTCTGTTTTCCGTGCCCGAGAGTGGGGGCCATATCGTGACTAGATCAAGCAATTTAGTGTATCCTCACCCTTTCAACGCTTTCAATCCCTTTTGCCGTTCAATCGCGTGAACTGCGTGAATCGTTGTAGACGACCCCTCCCTCTATTCCCGCACGCTACCATACCAAGCCAGTCTTCTTGGGTCGTTGCCTGTAATCAAGTCCTCTCCTCGTCTCTCCTTGTCTCTCCTCGCCTTTCAGTCCATCTTGGCCTTTCATCATTCCCCATATCCCCCTTTCTCGAGAAAACCAACCCCAAACCACCCATCCCTCTTCCTCCTCCTCTTCATCCCACAATATGCCATCCTTCAACCTCCCCTCCTCCGCCATCCACAAAAAGTGGTCCCGCTCCCTCCCTCCCATCCTCACCGTCCCCTCCGGCGCCACCCTCACCCTCGACCTCCCCGACGCCAGCAACAACCACATCACCCCGTCCAACGCCCCCACCGCCCTCTCCACCTTTTCCCTCGCCGACGCCAACCCCGTCGTCGGCCCCGTCTTCGTCGAGGGCGCCCAGCCCGGCGACGTCCTGCGTGTCGACGTCCTCGAGCTCGACACCGCCGACTACGGCTGGACCGCCATCTTCCCCGGCTTCGGTCTCCTCGCCGACGAGTTCCCCGACCCCGTCCTCGAGGTCTGGGATCTCGCCCGCGCCGCCATCACCGGCCGCGCCGACTTCCGCCCCGGCATCTCCGTTCCCGTCCGGCCCTTCCTCGGCATCATGGGCGTCGCCCCGCCCAGGACGGCGAGCACAGCACCATCCCCGCCTACGTCACCGGCGGCAACCTCGACTGCCGCCACCTCACCGTCGGTTCCTCCCTCTACCTGCCCGTTCAGGTCCCCGGCGCCCTCTTCTCCTGCGGCGACGGCCACGCCGCCCAGGGCCACGGCGAGGTCTGCGGCTCCGCCATCGAGACCCCCACCCGCGCCAAAATCACCCTCACCGTGGAGAAGAACATGCCTTGGATCACCGCGCCCCACTACGTCAGCCCCTAGTCGTGCCGAGGAGCTGGCCATGGGCGAGTACGCCGCCATGGGCGTCGGCCCGGACCTGGCGGACGCGGCCAAGGACGCCACCCGCGGCCTCATCGCCTGGATGCAGGCCGAAAAGGGCCTTTCCAAGACCGACGCTTATATCCTCGCCTCTGTCGCCGCCAATCTCAAAATCGTCGAGGCTGTCAACATGCCAAACTATGTCGTCGCCTGCTCCATCCCTCTCGCCATCTTCCGCTTCTAATCTTACCCCGGCCCCGAGTCTTGTTTTTTTTTTTTCCTCCTTTTTTGTCTTTTCCTACGCCACACCCGCATCTCTTGCCCTTGTCTTGTTCCCGCTAGTAGTACGCTCTCACTCCCACCCACTGGCCGACACCGGACCCTTGCCTCGTTTTAGCCCCCTGGTCCTAGCCCGGCATTGGCGTAATACAGTGGACCACTAGACGTACGTTAGGGCTGTGGAGGGGCCCGGAGGCGGGATGAAGACGCTAAGGTATTGAACGGAAAAGAAAAAGAAACAAGATCAATTGGATGGACAGGCATCAATGAAATTCGGCCTTCCCCCATTTTGCCGAAAAACCAGACGTCGTCACTGGGGGAGAGGAAATGTGCTGGAGCTTGTCGCATCAATGTGGAGCGGGGGCTTGCAAAGACGCCATTCCACCCCGATTCTTCTTCTTTTTTCTTCTCCGTTCAGCTTCTTCCTGTCTTCCTCCTCATCCTGGCACCCTGCTCGCAAGCGATTAGCAATAAAAAGAAAAAGAGAGAAATACGCAAGAAAGAGCGTTATTTGTGAAACCTAAGAGAACAAAGAGAGGGAGAGGGAGAAAAGGGAACATTAAGGAGGATAATCGATATCCATTACACTCGGGACAGGCCAAAGAAGTACCGATACTCACAAGTTCAAAAGAAGAGGAGGAAAAGGGAAAACAGATAACCAAGGGAGAAGGAAAGCAAACTAATAAAACAAGGAAAACCACCGCAATGAAAATCACAGGGGTACGTACGTGTCCAGCCAGAGAACCCTCACCTTGCTTCCCCGCCTATCCCCCGTGGCGCACGCGATAGAGATCCAAGCAAGGAACACTCAAAGACTCACCTCGTTGCACCATTCTTTCCTCATAGATCTACCTCTACCCTATCAAGGGCCTCCGCGGCATCCCCTCGACCAAGCCCGCCTCACCCCGCAGGGCCTCAAGTACGATCGCCGCTTCTCCCTCTGGCGCATCCCCGACGACGGCGTGTCTCTCCGGGAAAAGATCCAAGTCTTCACGAACCCGGAAGCCGCCCTCTTCGACCAGCGCGTTGTCGGCCTAGACGAGGACGATGTCGATAAGGAGGAGAAAATTTCCTATGCCCCACACAAAACCAAAACCCCCGTGCACACCCGGGCCCCCGCTGGTGCCCCGGACGCCGACGGGGCCGATGTTCGGAGGGAGCCCCCGCCATCCTCGTCCGCTACCTGACCCCCAAGTCCCCATCGTCCCCGAGCACCCTTCCCAGGCCACCGAGCTCCGCGTGCCCCTGTGCCCGGACACGACCAACCTAGACCCCGTCACCGTCACCATGTACAAGAGCTCGGCCACCGCGTTTCGCATGGGCCGCGAATACGACGCCTGGTTCACCGCCTGCTTCGGCTTCCCTGTCGCCCTCGTCTACATTGGCGATGGGAGGCGGCCCCAGTTGGGCTTCCAGCCTGGTACTCCCGCTCGCACGCCCCAGAGAAGCCCCCTTGCCGCCCTGCTCCACATCTTACTCGATTGCGTCGCCCGGTGCGTCGCCTTCCTCCTTGCCCTGCCTACCCTTGCCGCCGCGGAGGGTGGTAAACGGGCCAAGCACCCTCCTCCCAAAGCCCCCGGAGCCCTGGATCACTTTTACCGACTTTGCTCCCTTCCTCATCGCCTCCGAGTCCTCCCTTGCCCACCTCTCCGCGAGCGTGAGCGACACCCCGCTAGAGATGCACCGCTTCCGCCCCAACATCCTCATCGGGCCCTCGTCGCCCCGGACCGCCCCGGACACGTTGAGCAGCGGTGACAGCAACAGCAGCGACAGCGGCCTTGACCAGCAAGACGACCTGCCCCGTGGGACGAAGACTTTTGGTCCGAGCTCTCCGTCGCCGGGTCTCCCGTCTTCAAGCTCACCGGAAACTGCGCCCGCTGCACCTCGGTCAACGTCGACTACGAGACCGGCCGGCCCACCAAAGGCCCGCGCGGCACCGTCCTCAAAACCCTGGCCAAGACCCGCCGCGTCGATAAAGGCAAGAGGTGGGAGGCCATCTTTGGCCGCTACGCCTCGCTCGCCGTCGCACCCGAGACCTCGCCGCGCAAATGGTGGGCCGGGGGCGAATGGGGAGAGGAGGGCGCAGCAGCAGCGACCGCCACGCCAGTCACAAAAGTCGCCGTGGGGGACCCGGTGCGCGTGACGAGGAGAAATCGGGAGAGGGACGTCTGGGACTGGCCCCCTCTGAAATGAGGCTCCGCGACACGCTTTTTACCTGGGACACGCAAGCATCGGCATCATCATCATGTCTTGTTCCCCCCTCTTCAGACTGGCCGGGTGGACAGGCCCAAGAGGGCCACGGCGGCGGCAATCATGTGATGTCTGGGTAACACTCCAGTGCGGAACTTTTGGCGTCTCACAAAAGGATGGGATGGGGGCCAGCTGCGGTGCTGGGTACTGGGTACTGGGTGTTAGGTGGTGGGTTGCCAACCTTTCGTCACCATCCATCCCGCCCCCTTCCCCTTCCCTCTCCTTCCCTTTCCACCTCCTTGGCCCGCGAAAGGGGCCCACCTCGTAGGAATCCAGAATTCAGATTGACGAGAGACCCTTGCAAAAGGGAGGACGGGTCGGTTCGCTGATCAGTGTAACCGGGTAATGCCCCCAAGAAATGCCGTTGCCCCTCCCCCGGGGTTCCTCTTTCACCGGCTCTTCTGCAGCGTGTATCATGCAGGTCTTGCTTCCTCGCTCTCCAAAAGGCCCCGCATGCATGCACACCCCCAACGCTCGAGATAGATGGTGCCCTGGGAGAAACGAAACCTACATGCGCTTACGCATACCCTGTTATTCGCACTTACACACGCATCAGACTTGTAAGGACGAGGGGAAAGAATGCCAACTGGACGAAACCTGATTTACATCCTCTTTTAATTCCTTTTCCTTTCTTGTTTCTTCTTCTTTGTAGCATCTACCTTTTCCCGGTGTCTAGGATTATTCTCTCCCCAGCGGCCGAGTTGTATCTACGACCTTGTCCACGCCCATATCTCGTTTTGGTGGCCTCGGCTGGCGTGCTTCAACTCCTCAACCCGTGGTACCGACCCGCTCTGGCATCTGTTCGGTCTCTCTAGATAGTTATTGTCACATTGACCCTTTCGCTCTAAAGCCAGAACTGGACAGTTAGCAGGCGATCCGCTCGCGATGACCCGTTCGACTATCTGCTGAGGGTTCAATCCGGCGTAACCCATGGGCGGCCCTGCTTTACTCACCGTTGGGCCTGTCCACTCGTAGTTAGGTTGGTGGTGCCCTTAGCCACCAGAGTGCAGCTTACACTACCTCGGTAGAGGGTGCATGCACCTAGCAAAGGGTGCATGGATGTGCGTGCAAACCAACTGCAGCTGATTTGATGCACATGAATCTTAGTTTCCTGCGAATGTAGGGTAGGGCTGGGGGCCGCGGCTTCTTCCAGCCACTCTTCATCCGTCTTGGGAGGGGGTTTTCTTTTTCAAAGCCCTCCTCCTTACAGCATAGTCTTCTTTCCTTTGTATCCTTAGTCTTTCTTTGGTTTGGCTTTCCCTTTTTTTTTTTTTTTTTTTTCATCTCAACAATTCCCGCCGTCCCGTTGTTTCCCCGGCCCCTTGATGAACCGAGAGGTCAGCCTGATCGCCGTCCCGTTCCTACAATCGCACAAACGTTCGACCCCTACTCACGTCAACCCCGACCCCTGCTCGTGTCACCTTCCGTTCGCTTGAGTCTTCGATTGCGCCGGAAGGGGAAAGGTCACCCACTCAGTCGGTCGCCCCATGCGGCCTACTTAATTCCAGGGGGCCCTCTGTTGACTCCAACAGCCATACACAACCCTCCGCTCTTGGGGTCACCTTGAGCCTAGTCACCTTTTGCTCACTTACACACGCTGTGAGCCAGGTAATGACTGAATGTGGGTTCCTGCCGCAGCAATTGAGTGGTACCGAAGACTTGACCATTAAAAAAAAACGAAAACAATCAAAAAGGCTTTCTTCTTCTTTCCCGCCCTTACAAATGTTACCACTTTTAGTAGCAGCCGCTTTTACGTCCGTGTCTCTTAATGTTGTAGGCCTCTGTCATGAGACCGCAAAATACTCACCTCTTGGTGGGGGAGATGAGGTGCAGGCGTGCGATTCAAGCTTCCGCCGGAACTTACATCCGGCTCTACCATGCATACCTGTTCTGCGAGCCCTTGTCTGGCGTGCGTTTTTCACCCGGGCCGCAATCGAGATTGATATCCATCATTTCAGGGGCCATTTGCAAGCTAGCGCTGGGAGGTGACATAGTCCTGTCTCAGAGCTCGATGAGCAGAACAAGCAATTCTTGCGAGTTTGTGTCTGAGTGCAGCGGGACCTACTGCTCATCCAGATCCGTTCGCAACTGAATCGCCATGAGATAATAATACTACTATCCGGGGGCGGAGAGCTGCCTGGTCTCGTAATGAACGAGGCATACCACCTCCCCCTGCAACCCACCCCCGTTCGCCAGATCCCTGCGCGCCCCCAAAAGCCGCAACGATGCCAATATTCAAATCAGGGAAAACCTCTAATAACGAAATAGAGATGAGGGAAAAAGAAAGGAAGAGGGAAGAACAAAATCCCCCTCTCTCTCAACGCCATTTACTGAAATTGCCATTGTTGGGGGATGTCAACCCCGAAATGTGGTTGACGGCCTGGCGTGCGTGGCTGGTTTGTTGGCTTCCTGGTCGACCCTCTGTCCCTATCTAGTCCAGTGAGACTCTCCATGAGGACATATGTAGCTACCGTCATGTTAAACAGCCATGTACGTCTCATGCTTTTGGCCACCACTTAATACCACTTACACCCCACCCTCCCAAACGGCACCACCCCCAGAGCACTTGTCGCGTTTGACAACAGCATGCGCTGTCATCGAGGCAAGTCACGACTGCCGAGGCAATCAAGGGCACTGACACTTCCTTCTCCCACGTTGCATTGGCGCATCGCTTCCTTTCCGTGGCACAGCCTACTGCCGCTCTCAGAGCCAAGAGTTGCGTATGTAGTTGAGAAAGTTGTTTGGCTCAGGCCGCCCGTGTGTGAGAGCCGTTGTTTGCTTTCTGCCCTTGTTTCCGAGTTGAAGTAACCAGCCGGAACTGAAGTCTTCTAGAGTCTATCGAAGAGCTTCTTTCGAATGATTTCCTGTGCTACTTCCGTCTTGATCGCCGCGTGGAACTAAAAACCTCCAACCTCTGTCAACTACTGAGGAACCACTTGGCCGCGCTGATGGCTGACGCGTGTCGAAGATGGTTCCTCAAGGCAGGCGAAAAGCAAATATGAAGGCAATCTCTGCCCTCGGTGCAGGAGAGGATCAGGTCATATGCCAAATCCATGGTAAAAGCAAGAGTTTGCGAAAAGCAAAGGCTTTGCTTGATCCAAGGGACACGTAGTGTAGAGGAGAGGGCCGCTGATGAAGGAAACGGGAGGAAAAAGAAAGCAGAGATTAACTTTGCTTATATCATTTGAGACCATTATACAAGCAGGCTACGGCTCCGAAGGAGGAAAGGAAGAGGATGAATTTGAAAATCAGCTGTTCGTACAGGAAAGATGGGCAACGAGAAAGTGAAATGACAAAAAGAGCAAAACAGAGAAAAGAAAACGCCGTCCAATCTAAAACCCTATGTGCTATGGAGCATACATGTAGTCTAAATGAAAAGAAAAGAGACACAAAAAGGAAAGGCAAGAAGAGCAAGAAAAGGAAAAGATAAAAGAAAACCCATAACCTCGTCAAGCTGTCAAGCTACCAAATCTAACGTCTCGTCCTAAAAGACAAGAAGAGACGATGTTCGGTTAGGGAAGGAAACAAAATCTAAAGTCAGACCTAGCCTCTAAGGCACATCAATGACCCATACCAAACGTTGGTTTTTCTCTATCATTCCGTCGCTTTTTAATACCCATAGTTGAGTGAGACAAACAAAAAGAAGAAAAATGAAGGAAAAACGGAAATAAGAAGGGAATCGCAAAGGCAAGAGAAAAGAGAGAGGAGGTTCGAAAACTTTTTAACACACACATGTAATACGAGCGACGCGTACACGCGCACACGCACACAAGGAAGTTTCGCGGGCTCTGCCCAGCGACAAAATCGAAATCCAAGTCATATGGAGCTTGTTGCAGTCGTACAAGCCCAGAGGAAGTAGCATTTCGGGGGCGTTGGTTGGAATCAAGCAGTCCAGCATTGGCCCCACAAGCGTAGCAATCGTGCATGCTCGAAAAGGAAGGAAATAATAATGCAGTGCGGCCAAGAGCATGGGGCATCAAACTAAAAGCGATGGTCTCATCAGGCATGACGGAGGGAGTTCCCGTGGGTCGTCGGTCGGATTGCCGCACGGAAAAGCAACTCTAGAGGCAACGGTGCGAGATGAAGAAGAAAAGTGCCGTCGATATGTACCCCAGGCCTCGCATCTTCGGATGAAATGGAGCCTAGGGGAACGGGAGAGGGGGAGATGTGCAAGTAGAGAAGGAAACGTTTTTGGTTGAAAATTGGTATCATAAGCTGGCCATAAAGTCGTCTAGGGGTTTCTTTTCTCTTTTCTTTTTTTTTTCGTTCGTTCTCGGCTTTCGTCGAGTTAATTGGAAGGGGGAGATTGATTGTGGTGCAGTCTCCTGTTGCCCTTATTGCGCAAGATCTGTTTCCGCCTGAACGAAGTTAGCCAAGATCTTCTGGTCACAGAGGGTGATGAAACCTCGTCCCCTCCCTGCCAATTTCCAAGGACCCCAGATAGAACCTCATTGCGAACAACCCTTGGAATGATAGCATGGCATATCGAAAGATACAGTCAAGCCGGCCTCAATCCACTTCCAAGGGTGCTGTTATCCGCAGGAAACCAAGAGCCTCCCTTGGTGGGATTCAGGGTGGTGCAGGGGAAGTGAATTTTCCTCTTTAGGATCACATACGTACCATACCGGCTGTTCCTGCATGTACTGGGTTGGGGGCTAGTCCATTCCACATTAGTGGTGGAGCCAGCAGCCAGCCTGCGGTTGATCGATTGGGTTGTCAGGCCCAGGGTGGCCCGAGGCTGCAACCTTTAGACACGCTGGGTGCAGCCCCGACACGTGTGGAACTTGCAGTAGCGGCACTCGTAGATGGCCCAGTGAGGGCCAGAGTGACAGATGTTGCAGGTCCACTGCATCATCGTGTTGTCTGATTTGATTAGCTGGAAAGAATGAGCGCAATGGCTAGGAGAGCCATGGCGGCGTTCATGCCCTTGTTGGCGGTAGAAG